TAAAGAACTCGAAATTGTTTACTGCAAAAACAGTCAGGTTAAGGTAGGTGGAGGCTTTCCAGTAGCATGGACGACTGGAAAAATTAGGAAGGGTATTCATTGTGGACGCACGATGAAACCAGAAGTGGCAATGTAGTCTACCTGGTGCATTCTAGTGTCATGCTGCAGGGGTGTCATTGACATCATACCCGTTGATGAAAAGGAAGACCGACGTTCAACCCAGTATACAGACCTTCAGGTAGTCCAGTGATTCATCGCACTAACTGCGCGGTGGCTAACTTGCTCGCTCACGAATTCTGAGGTAAATTTTTCGAGTGGAAGGGATGACTACACACCAGATATACGACGGAATTGCAAGGGGAGTGGGTTAAGCGAGATTTGAGTCTCTTAAAGTAAGGGGAATCTTATGGATTATAAATCTTAAAAAATCTTCGGGAATTTACGGCAATCACCGGGTAGCAGTCAAGGAGTGTGCCGACTTTCTCGGTATCTTACCGGCAAACCTCTTAAGATATTTTTCTGTGGAAAGCGGATTATTCTCTGATTAGAAACCACTGGCTTTCACCCGTGATCTCTTCAACTTCAGACACTATGCAGGGATTAGCGGATGATCCAATTCGTGATTATTCACTTAATAACTCAGTTCCACCCACGCGTCAACACAAATGTCTACCTAGGTGATGCGAAGATAACTTTTGATGGCATGGAGTAGTTGAACTCTCTCCGTTGAACAAAAATTCCATCCACATAGGGTTGTTTGGCTTTTCGAAAGCTTTTTACAGACCTGATCATGATACACTGCGCAGAAAAAATCCGTTCATTGTGTACATAGGAAGTGACTCTGATGGCTTAGGGATTGATTTATCGATAGGCTGCAGTTCCCCAGAGTTGGTTCTTAATTATAAAATCCGTTTCCAATGATGAGTGGGACGCATCGTGGTCCCATTCTTGGTTCGCTGCTGTTTCTCGCTTTTATAGACGACTTGCTAGCGAGCCTAACTTCTCATTCACCATTATGCGCTGATGACATGACGGTTTAGCTGGAGATGGATGGGTCAACCTAAATATTGGGTTTCGAGGAGTACGCTTCCAAAGTGGAAATCGGACGAGTGGAAACCTGCTCGCTCCCAATGCGGAGAAGATTGGGACAATGTAGTAAAACAAATATGAGTGTAATTCTGTTTCTTACACCCTCAAGGAAGTGAATTCCCCCCGCCCCAGCACTGAGAAGGATTTGAGTGTCCCTAACTGACAGACCTGAGGCTTCTATCTGTTGCTACTTCACAAGCAATGAGGGGCATGTGAGCCTAAAGTTTCTTCCTCGAACTTTGTGGGGTCAAGATCGTGGTCTTTTAACTGCACTGTACAGATTATATATTCTTCCCTATCTAGAGGAAAAGCCATCGGTTGTATCTTCATGCTGAAAGAAAGATATCGCTTTCCTAAATCTTGTTGAATGGGCAGTAACGAAAAAGGGGTTGGGTTATTGTAAAACCTTTATCGGAATCGCCCAGTTGCTCCTAAACCGTCTCCGGTATAATAAAGGACCATCAGAGGGGATGCGATCACCATGTATCATATTGCCTGCGATCCTCTTCATCTAAACTTACTGCTCTTGAACTTTAATCAGAAACCGTACTTTAAGGCCATCCTTTAAGAGTAGGGCATGAAGATTCACACATAATAAGCCACGTTAAATGCTTCGCAGTTAATATGTAAGGCATGTAACTTTCATCTTAAAGGATTTTGATGGCTCCCTTTAGCGATGCTCTCAAGGAGATACTAGATGCACACTTGAAATCATGTGGCACAAATGCTGTGAACTCATGAAGCCAGCCGTTGTCCTACAGTTAGTGGGTGGCATCATTAACCTTCGAAAGGGGTATTTAATAATAATTGGCCGCTTTTCTCTCATCAGGTTCCTGTGAACCGGTGAGACAACTCAATGTTCCAAGTAAAAAAATTATCAAAATAAAACAGACGAAGAACCCAAGGAACCATCTTCTGCTACTTTTGCGGTGCTTCTACACAGCGACCTCAGATTGTTTGCAGAGTGATCGAATGGTAACCCATCAGCCTTTAACACGTATAGATGCCGAATCTTGTCTTCCGTATCTCCAACCGACAAAAGGTAGCCTACCTCCTGTACAGTGCGCAGCTTTCCTACACAACCTCAGAGAAAGACCTGAGACTGATACTAACTGGCAGGCTAAGCTCTTGTTTCAATTGTCTAGGAGATGCTATCAGAGCTACGCGGTACCTCACTTCATGTGCAGTAAACTAAATGCTCTCTCAACACGACAATAGGGTAAAAACCCTTTGGGAAAAGCTAACAGGTCTAGGTCCTTACTCTGTTAGCTACTGTGACACGTGCTGACTGGATCGCGGCTTAAAAATACTTGGTGATCCAAGGCACCCGACCAGCGGGATCCCATCAAACAGAGATTCTTGCAATCTCCTTGGTAACCCGAGAAGAAGGGCCCATCAGACGGTGAAAACCTGCGTTCACTAACACTTTTTTATGACCTGGTGACCACTGGAAGTCATTGCCTACAAAGATTGCCCCTGCTGTGTCTGCCAACAGCCTCAACTGTAGGTTCGACAGCTACTCAGAGACTGACAGCTGGTGGCAGTCCGGAGGGAATACGGACTACGTCAATGCAATCAACTGTCTACACACATCTAAGCGCTGACTACCCCACACTGAATCCTTTGTAATGCCAGTATCATGGTGAAGTTAACTCAGTCTCGTACTTTTTTGCTAGACGTTTCACTTCCCTTCATCTCTCCCCCTCTAGTGACATGGTTTCAGCTTATTCGTTAAGGTTAACCTAATCACTGTTATCTTCCCTGTTGTTCTGCCTTTTATCACCAGTTTCTCTCACTTCGTTTTCGCTAGAAATCTCTTCATTCTGTCTTCCGTTTTCAACTAGTCCAAACAAGTCTCTGATGACGCATCATCTGAGGAACGCTTTTGTGCCACTGTTTCTGGACAAATCGCAAAATCTCTGCAAACCAAACCAGCATCTGACCACCCGTCACACATACCGGAGCTACAGCAGGCGACTGGGTAGATCTACAGCCACTAGTGGCTTGAGGTCATTCCGTAAGGCTTAAGGGCGAGCGAGAAGAAATCAATAGGCTTACATTTTCGTGAAAACTTTTTGGCGTATGAAAACCTGGTAGTCTGATGGAATCTTACCTAACAGAAGCTGGACACCCGTCTGAGTACTGTAGGTAGGTCTTTTCTGTAAATCACCACTCAGCCAATGAATCTTGTGCCCATAACGACAGAAACAATCTTTCAGTCGTCAATGGTTCTTAGACCAGAAAATCCCTGGGTACCGATGAGTTGCACCCCAAGTTGCTGTCTTTGACAGTGAACATTGCTGATCCTTTCAATGTGCCCTTATGTCGCGCTTACTGCCTCAGGGACTGGAAAAAGGCACAGTTTTTAGAGACAGTAGTCTCCAGTTGATGACTAACTATCGCTTTGTGAGTTTAAATGGCATAGACATTAAAATTTTAGGAAAAATTACTCGTAACAAGATCCTTAACCTTGTTGAATAAAATAATCCATGGCACCATAGCAACACCGTTTTCGCAGTGGAAATCCCCGCTTAACAAAACTCCCCATCGCGAGAGAAAGTGGATTGCCGCCAGTGGTTGCCAGCTGCCAACAGACGCTCTATCCACAGACTTCAGTAAGGGGTTTGGTAAAGTATCTCAAGTGAGATTGCCGGAAATGCCGTTGGCTTTCGCTTTTGGTGCTGCACTGCAAGCCTTGGTTAGTACCGCCCCATAGGACAGGGGGCAAACAGTGAGGGCTGATGAGCTAATGATCCCTAACCCTAACTGATCGGGAAGAAATCTGTTGCACGTGAGATTCTTCAATGAGGAATCCTAGATACCCTATTTTCCTTGCTATATGTCGACGAATTACGCAAATGTTCAACTTTTCGGTGCTTCTTTTAGCCAGGTACATGGAAGTCTAAATTGTCATGCGTAGTGATGTAGATAGATGAGTACTTCAAGTGGATTTGTCAGGTTTATTTAAACGCTGGTGCCTGGAAACTAACTCTAGCAAGGGTACAATGGTACACATTGGTAACAGAAATTGTTTCCAGCATTCCGTTGGTGTCACACCGCTACCCTCAGTCTTGAACTAAAAGACCTAGGTGTCTTCAGGAGCCATGGAGTGAGAAAAATCACAAACTGCAGTGCAGCTGTGGCGAAGGGCTACCGTTGGCTATATTCTCCGGGCCGAACATTGGGATGTTTTGATCATGACACTCAGGATACTCTATCCTATTTACCTTAGACCGCACCAAGTGTACTGTATTGAAGTGGCCAGCTTATACGCCGAAAAGGATGCTGACATACTCGAACGTGTCACAGGATAGGCGTTGAGCTTCTGGCAAGCTTTTCGAACCCGCCTTATGAGGAACCATCAAATCGGCCAAACATCCTGGCTGTCTTACCATTGGAGACAGGACTATATTCTATTGGTATTCCTTGTCCTTAGCAATGAATCCGGTATTATCTTTTATCCCATTCGAATTGACTGTCTACAAGCCCATTACAAGAAAGTCGAAAAGCCATGATCGAATCAACTTGGCGGGAATCTGCGTTTCCCTCAATGTTGTACACGCCTGGAAATACTTGCCTCAGAAGTTAGTATCAGCACTTTCGACAAATGCATGTCAGGAGAAATGTCTTCTGTGGTCCATCTGACCCCGATGTGCACTTTGTCTGGTTTCATATCAATTTCATTACATAACTCTGAGCACAACGTCCTCCAGTTTAGTCCGATGAAATAGTTGACTGGAAAATAAAGTCACTACCTCCAAAGCCATATGCAGGGAAAGTATGAAAACTTCTGAAGCAGCCGAATGCGTAGAATCCAACAAAAAGAACTGAGCTTCAAGATCTAGAAGGGAGAGGTGAAAAACGAAAAGACTACTAAGCTCGCACTATTGATGTTGGATAGGGGCGCGTCTGTCAACTGCTTGTAGAACATTGAGGTCGTTAAGGTAGTTATTATGGAAACATCCAATTACCGCACCATGTCATTTGTAACCTAGTAGGATCGAATGTTCTTGATTTACTTTGTATAAGAATCGTATTGTGTTTCTAGTCATATCTTTTCCGTCATTCCTAAGAATCTGAAGGCAATATATGCTTTTACCAGTGGTGTGTACACCACTGGTAGAATTATGTACTTGTGTTACTGATTTGTTTTAGTCAAAAAAGCAATTTTTAGGATTGTAGTCATTGTCAATCGTCTTATATTCTGTTCTCGCATTAATGCGGGAACTTTGTGGGAGTTCTGCAAATCCTTGGCTAAATTTTACTGCCAGTCGTACCAGTTAATAACATGTCAGTCCCAGGAAGTGTTACAAAATACTGCAGGAGTTTGCGTAGTTGTCTGGCATGAATTCTCCATCACGTCGAGTCAGAGTATTCGAGTCAGCATAATCTTGATTATGTTTGTGTTTGGGTATAATATTGTCATCTAGTGTTTGAAAATAATATATAGCTTTCTAAACTGAAGTAGTTAAAACAAACTGTGGACCAGTAGGGACTGGCAGTGAGAATCCGGTGGAACGGTACACCAGCCTCCTAACAGGTCTCCATATCGCACTAAGACCAGAACGTAGCTCCTTGACATGCTTCTACAGCAATGTTAGAGGTCTTAGGAGTAAACTACTGGAGCTAAAAACAATGTCCCATAACCTGCAAGCAGATGTTATTCTCATCACGAATACATGACTGTCAGCAGACGTGGATGAGGAAATATCTTTGCCTAGCATGACCCTGTTCCGAAAGGATAGGCAGTTCAAAGAAGGCGGAGTTGCCACGTATATTAGCGCTCATCTAAAACTCGAAGAAGCGACTGATGGTGTATTCAGCTTGCTACCAGACTCCTTATGGTGTTATTTCACCACAAACCAAACAAAGTACCTATTAGGAGTGGTATATAGGCCTCCCCTTTGAACGACAGAGCTTAAGGCACAATTACTCAGTGCCATTTCAACAACCACCTCAGCAGCCTATGAGCATGTAGTCCTAACTGGAGAATTTAACACACCGGCACTCAACTCGGAATGTGAAGTAAGATATGGCATAAATCTTCCGAACACAAACCTCGAAATGCGTTTATGGCAGCAGGACTGGTTGGGGAAAACACCAGATGGGGACCAGATGGAAAAGGATCACCACTTAACTACATTCTAACAGACTGTGATCATTTGGTGGACGATATCTGTGTCCAATCCCCCCCCCCCCTAGGTAAGAGCGACCACACCTTGGTGAAATTCTCTCTGATAACCAAGGAGACACTACCAATAGTTGAGGCAGAAGCGTTCCGCTGTTACCGAAAAACAGACTACCACCTCATGAACAGCGAATTCCTGGAGGCTGCATGGCCACAAGAATGGCATTCACTATCGACAGACGAACACTGGATACATATTAAAGATATTATCTGGAGCGCTATCGATAAGAATGTTCCGAAATTAACCAGACGACTATCTCTCAAACGGTTTTGGGTAATTCGTGCAACCCAAAGGTAAATACAGAGAAAAAAAAGGGCATGGTATCGGTGACGTGCATCACACAAAATAACAGACCTTCATAGCTACAAGACGTTATGCAACTTATGTAATATGAGAATTCGTAATGACAGCTATACATATCAGGGCAACCTGGCCAAACAGTTAAGTTACAATCCGAAAAGTTTGTATCGGTTTATGTCACAACGTAAACCGACGAATAAGGGTTTAAACCTGATCACAGAGCCGGGTGGAGAACCTTTGAACAGCAATGAGGTATCGGAACTGTTGAGCAGCCTATTTGACGAGCAACTCAACCCAGTAATACATCCACTATCAACATCTAGTAATGTAACGAAGTCCCAGGACTGCGATACAAAGCTGATGAACGTGGAGAATGGGGGATCACCGGGCTGTGATGACATAAGACCAGTGGTCCTACGCAACTGTGCCGAAGTGCTAAGCATACCTATATGCAACCTGTTCACGCACTCGTTGAAAGTAAGTCAACTCCCCAAAGAATGGAAACGCGCCATGCTTTCACCAGTCTTCAAGGAAGGAGACCGAGAAAACCCATGCAACTACAGACCAATAGCATTACTATCCATACTTTCCAAGGTACTGGAAAGTCTGGTTGCAGATGTTGTTTGGGATTACCCGAACGGAAACAACATCGTCCATCCCACCCAGCATGGCTTCAAAGTTGAGCGGTCATGTGCCACAAACTTGATGACCGCTTGGGATAACTGGACCACTAGATGGGACAACAAACAACCAGTTCACGTTATCTCCTTGGACTTGGCCAAAGCTTTCGATATCGTCCCACACTGCACCATGCTCGCCAAACTTGCAAAAGTGGATACCAATGAACCACTCTTAGCATGTTTTAAAGCATACCTAGAGGATAGAGAATTCTGCACTAAAGTAAACAGAATTCGATCAACCTGAAGGAATGCAAGAAATAGGAGTGGCCCAAGGATCGCTCCTATTTTTACTACCCCCATTAAAATCTCATCTATCCTCCTATTCGCCGACGATATCAAAATATGGAGGACGATAGGTGACAAAGAGGATCCTAGGATACTCCGAAACAACCTGTTGCAGCTGGAGTCTTGGTCAGCTGCAAACGGTTTAAGCTTTAGCCTGGAGAAACGCAAGGTGATGTTTCTTCGCACACCGGAGGCGATAAAAATCAGCTACACTCTTAACAAGTATGCAGTCACCAAGGTATCCACAGAGAAGGACGTGGGACTAAACTTTTCTGACATTGGATACTACTGGAAATTATAAGGGAATGGCAGCAAAAGCGAACGCCATTATGCACTGTCTAAGAAGGCAGCGTGGATCGTTAACCCCAGAATTATTCTTTATAGTATTTAAAACCGATGTTAGACCACACCTAGGGGTGTTCAGCATGATAGCCCCCACTACTAAAGAGAGACTCAAATACTCTCGAGAAGGTACAGAGAAGAGCAACAAAGTCGGTTGTCGGACCTACAGGCAAAACATATGCGCAACGCCTCAGACAACTCAACTTGTTCATACTAAGCTATGGAAGGAAGCAAGGTGACCTGATAACATCCTACAAGATCATTCACCAAGTAGACCACCCAAATAGGACAACGTTATCGGTCCAAAAGCGACAGTCCCGTGGGAACCCCAGTCGCATGTCCCACCATAGGGGAAATACGAGAGTGAGATCTAACTTCTTCTCCCACAGAGTATGTGCCTTATGGAACACTCTGCCAAACTAAGTGGCCACAGCTACATCAGTCGACTCCTTCAAACGACTACTGGATGAATATGTGGTTGCAAATGGCTCACCCCGAACATCTGTCAGTAGCAACTGATGATGCCCCCCTCCATCCCTGTATTCCCCAACCCTAGCATCTGCACTAAGATGCATCTCTCCTCCATATTATTACCAGTAACACTTATCTTTTCATAAGTACTTTTCACTCCTCTTTTTCTCATTGCACACCCTGTTTGTAGCACTTTTTAAGTAACTCTTAACAGTTACTTGCAGGTGCTTACAACAACAGGAATCGCAAACGGTTGATTGATCTGATCAGCAACTACGTTGCCCCCCCCCCCCCCAAAACAAATGAAGCTACCTCCAAATAGACAATCATCGCCTCCAAAGCTATAAGCAGGAAAACGCAAGGACTTCTGCGACCATCGAAAAAGTACAACCGAACAAAAGTAACCCAGCCTCAAGACCTAGAAGCGAGAGCTCAAAAACTACAAGTTTCCTCTACTCGCACTACTAATGTTGGATTCCTAAAAATCTGAAAACAATATATGCTTTTACCGGTGATGTAGACATGAGAATTTAGGTTTAGAATTTGTTTTAGTCAAAAAAGCAATTTTTAGGATTGTAGTCATTGTCAATCGTCTTATATTCTGTTCTCGCATTAATGCGGGAACTTTGTGGGAGTTCTGCAAATCCTTGGCTAAATTTTACTGCCAGTCGTACCAGTTAATAACATGTCAGTCCCAGGAAGTGTTACAAAATACTGCAGGAGTTTGCGTAGTTGTCTGGCATGAATTCTCCATCACGTCGAGTCAGAGTATTCGAGTCAGCATAATCTTGATTATGTTTGTGTTTGGGTATAATATTGTCATCTAGTGTTTGAAAATAATATATGGCTTTCTTAACTGAGATAGTTGAGATAAACTATGGATTTGTGTTCCGGCTATTTTCCACATAGCTAAACCGCAATCTCGGTTGTATACTTCGATAATTTCCTCTCTAGATGGTTTTCGTCGTTAGATGGTATCTCCCAAATTCTGTAGATTTTGATGCCCGGATAGTTTATTTTAGTGTGAAAACTCAACTCAGCATCTACTTACGAATTCGTTGGTTAGAAATGAAGTATGTACTACCTCAATGCTGTGCTTCTAAACTAGTCAATCAGTCGGCCTATAAACCTGCACCGGTTGAGGTCACTAGGTAAGCAGTACACGTCCTTGAAGCATTTCACACGGTTGAAAGTTTCGGGGATTAGTAGCTGGACACTTGTTAGTACTATCGAAAGTTGACCATAGTAAAGCACATGCACCCGCTACTTGTCATCAAAGTTTTCCGTGTTTGCTCTTCTCCATTCCATATCCTAGTTTGCTACAGCAGTTTTTTTCCTTATTTCTCTTTCATTTGGCAACTTGGATCGCTTCAGCTGTGTTTGCTTCATGTTCCATTTGTCTGTGATAATACTTAACTGTCCAATCAAATAAATGGCTAAGTGGGGGGTTCTTACCCGCAATTCGGCAGTTTAAAGTTAAACTCCACAACTGGAAGAAATCTTTTTATTTGTAGTGGATATTCATTTCTATTTTATTCACTGGTCTAATGGATACTGAATTTATGTGTTATAATTGACTGAAACGACGTATAGCTCAATGTAGCAGTTCACTGACTCAACTCACGACTGTTCTTACGAAGAAACCTAAGAAAACAAAATTTTCGCATTCTGCATATAGAGGATTGTCTTGTTATATCTTCTTAAGTGTAGTTCGTTATATCTATTTTCTGAAGTTCTATTCTTACCGTATCGATTCATTGGTCATTTGATTAATTGTTTTTTCAATAAAATTCTACATGTTTTTGTCCTTAGCCCATCTACCTTCTTTTGACGTGCAATCGAGCCACGCAAAGTTTTTGCAGTAGTAAACCAACTTTGAAACTCGAATTTCAACAAGCGAGTGTATGGTTTGAGCCCGGTTTTGCGTATGCCGTGTTAGACAACCAAGTGGTATAATTTGGTGTCACACAACTTGTTACTCATAGCCAATTGAGTAAGTGATTATTGGGATGCAGTCCTGCATTACCAATAGTCTGTTAGTTCTTTTTCATTGACCATTGATGGAAGGGAAATTAAATTTATCTCTAGCTGTTTCGTACGCTATTTTCTTGACATTTACGTTTTAAAGCGCCATTTACTAGCTATGCAATAGTGAACATCGCATTAACATGCCTCTTTACCAGTATGCGAATATTTATGATCTCATGGTTTGAAACTTTTCAAAGTGGTTATAATAATTATTTTGTCCAGGTGTAGGGTTCGCACCAATTGTTTGGAGGGTTGGTCGTCGTCTTTAAAGTTTGCATATCTCGTAACTGCTATCATGATTGGCTAATCCTTACTCATGTATTGCTTTTATTTGCAGGGTTTCTGAGCATTGGAGAAACAATTAGTTATCTGATTTAACTGTGATGTTTTTCTAATTATTGGACGTTACTATGTTGCTTCGTTTTTGATACCAAAAAATTTTCAACAATGGATCTTTCTCATATGTCGTATGTACTTGGTTGATGATTGCATTATTCATAATCAGGCATCGTACGCGACGCGCGTTTCTCAAAAAATTGAAAAGAAAGCGTCAGCGTCAAAAATTGGCTCAAGAAAATGAAGAAAAAGAGATGCAAGGTATGCTGCCAGTTTCATCTTTCAATACTCGCTTTCAGAGTTGGCTAGATTGCAACTCTCCCCAACGTACCAGGCACAGCAGGCTAAAGAACTGGAGCTGGCTGCACTCGAGGCAGAAGAACAGTAAGATACCAACTTTTTCGATTTTGCCCTAGTGATCGTAATGAACAGAAGTGGTTAGAGCGGGAAAAGGAGGCTCAGCTTAGATGGGAAGAAGATCGTCGTCAAAGAATGCTTGTGAAGCAGCGTGAAGAAGAAGCACAAGTAACTTTTTGCTGACATTCGTTGTTTTAAACGTATCTAAAAATTGACTAACGGAGTGTGGTTATCGTATGGATTGAACTCCTTTTGGTTGGAGAACTAAGGCTGTATTGTATTTGGGATTTCCTGGTAGCGTTCAAACTGTTGATGGTAGAAACTTGTTTGCAAATTTGGCAACAAATTCTCCTGATGGTTTTGGCTTCACCACTGTTTATATAGATAGTTATCAGTTAGCATTCGTTTCTTTTAGTGTTGTTTCACCTATCTATATTTTCTATATATTCTTCTGTCTATTTGCATGTTTATGCCTGAAGTTTGTCTTAGATTTTGACTGTTTTTCAAGTTTTGTCATATTAGTAAAATCGATGTGTTCTTAGCCTGAAGCTACTTTACACCAGTAAATGGAGTCACCGCAGCGTCTTCACATGTGGTAAGCTAGAATTTATAGGGCTGTCGAATACGTAAACCATGTTTAACTAGGCTGATCTGAGTAACTGAAAAAGGATTAAAATTAAAAAAACAATTACTTCAGTTTTTTGTCGTCGTAAGAAATTTAAGTACCCTGCAAGTATATGCATTTGTCATACCGTAGGCTATGAGTCCTACCTATTGTGTCAGGATTGTTGATGTCACCTGGCTTCCCAGCATGTTTCCAAAGCATATTTCAAAACCGTAACCCTTAGGTTGAAAGCTGAGTGCCCAGACCAACTAAACACAACTTGTAAGATGACTGGGGTGTATTTGTGTTCATAAACCCTTCAGAATTTCGTAACCTGCGTACGAGGAACCTCAGTTTACCAGTTAGCGAACGCTAGTGTTGAAATTACTTGAGATTAATGTCTACTAATTTCCATCTGTTCCATCCTAAAGGTTATAAACCTCATACATTGCATGAAGATGATGGGTTGTTTATCTCAGGGAACTCCGTGGAAGTTAATCGCATGTGTAGCATCACTAGCCATTCATTTCATGTCATTACCTGAGATTGTTGCTTGTAACATAAATGAGGTGTTTTATACTACAAAACTTACTAAGGTGGCTTTGTGAGGTTAGTCAACACGGTGCATTAGTAAAATCAGTGTGTTCTAGTTCTTTTTTCTCGTGTAATCATGAATATAACAATGTGCTTGAGAAATGTTTACGTATAAAATTGTATACTTCAGTTTGTATCGTCATAGATGTGTTATAAAGGTAGTTGGGTTTAAAGGAGTTGCACTAAACTGTAGGTCATTAGGTTTTGGTCTCATGGTTTCCTCTTATGGTTATCAGCCTAAGGATAAGAACTTAAATCTTTCAATATCATTTTATATAGGTAACTGGCTTGTATCTTTCTGCTTCACAGTAGGTAGTTATAGTGTTAAAGTTGTATTTTTGTAATGATGAGAATAACAGTGATTGTCGTGTTGTGAAATTTATTGGTATTGTTAAATAGTTTAAATTACATTTTTTTTTTTGTAGAAAAGAATAAAAGAAGAGTGGGAAATTAAACAAGCAGAATCGAAGAAAGTTGTCTGCGAATCAAAACCTAAGGTTTACCATGGAATTCTTATGCTTATAATGATTTTTTATCCACAAGAATCTACGTATCCTCTAGTTGTTACATTTATGCTAAAAATTATAATGTTCTACCTTCAAGTTGGATTTTCTAGGGAATCAAACTTTTTTGCTGAATATCGATACAGTTAAGATGAATAACGCTCAACGCTGGTTTAGGTATTCAGTTTGAAGCATCAGGTCATGAATTTGAAATGCATTCAACAACCTTGTGCATGTTTGTGCAGTAAGCAATGAGCCACATCTGTTGTATGAGGGCTTATGATACTATCCGCCTCCTTAAATCTTGGTAGATACAGCAGGGCTTCAACTCATGACCCATTGGTTAAAAGTCATTTCCCTAAACCAGTGAGCTACAACTCCACACCAGGTTATGCGTTAAAACCCGTCTGCATCTGCTTTAATCTTAACCGTTGTGGAGTATTATAGGCACTCACACAGTGGCTTATAGTCTAGTACTTAAATCTGTACTAGACTGTTGAATTGTAATGATACTAAATGCTAAAACTGGAAAGAAATAATTTCACAGGTAACACTTTTGTCTGTGTTGTTTATACATAGCGATTTAAAGTGGATTGTTTGAAAAGCCTTATGGCTTAGAGGGATATTAATGTTTGTGTATTTCAGCAGTAATAAAGAATAAATTTTTAAGTGTCCATCTTCACTTTCATTCTATACACCTGCCAGACTGTTTTGTGTAATATGTTTCGACATAATATAATATGTAGATTCTCTTACATAGTGTTTCATTGATTCTAAAATTACTAAATTTACGATTTCCACCTTCATATAAGGGTTAGGTATGCCTGTTTCATCATTTTGAGAGTCACTCACTGGAATTACTATACTTCAAGCAGTGAATGGGTTAGAAAAATTGACTAAATTACATTTTAGTTGTACTTATCAGATTAGTGATGCATAATACAATCTGGATTTTGCATTCAATCGTCAGTGTTTTTGGCACTTAAACCTTATTATTAGCTGATAGCCTCCAAAACTGGTGTGGCATATTATCCTTGGAAAGCGTCGATGTGCCATCCAGTTTCAGAGAAGTTCTCTAATACATTTGATCAAGCAGTGATCAAGATTTGATCGAATAACATTGTTCTTATTGAGTATTGAATAAAAATATGACATCAGATATAGTTCATATTTATGTAAATCATAGCTTGTTTGAAATAAAACAGTCCCAACATTTCTCATGGAAGTCTAACCCAAGCTTCTTCGGCGATATAATCAAAAATTAAAATACCAAATACAAGTTTGAACCAGATTTTCGCGCGAACCGTTGGAATTATTCTATTCCAAATACTCTATAACTTCAACTAATATAAACTACACCTAATTTGATCGACAATTTAAATATTTTGGATGACTTTAGTATATTTCTCATTTGCTTAACATAAAACCATAAGTTACGGGTCACTGATGTTAGGCCATCAACAATGTATACAATTAAAAATACTGATACTCTTAAAAATAATACGGTAGTGGTTAACTAATAGTTTTCTTCCGACGTTTTCACTTACTGTGATCAGCTTTAGAATCAGTTGCGATGCATAAGAATCATGTGTTCCCTTCATCCTACCAGTTGTAAAGTGGGGATGAATTACTTCATGATGTGACCTCTTAAGTCTCAAATTCATTCATCCTTTCTTGTGAAGTATTAAATTCTTGCACATCAAATATAAATGTTGGGCATTGTGGTAGATTGTAATTCCGTTTTAGCCCGTTTATTAGAATTTTTATATAGTGAGAGAGTTATTTACTGGATAGCGTTGCTAACTGACAAAATCAACTTAGGACCTTGCACACACGCGTATCGGCTCAAGTTGCCACACTTCACTGTAGTAAAAAAAGAATAGGTGGATAAAGTAGTGTGAGAGAGTAAACAATCTGTAGATAAAGGTTGTTACGAATATTCTAGCTTTAGAAGATGTCTTGGAGTGAATACATCTGTGCCATTGTGATCGATTTCCAGCCGTGTCACCAAGAGTCCACAACCACTGATAATTTTCGTCTCGAGGACCTCAACCAGACAGTCTACACTTCTCCATACGGATAAGACCAACAGTCAGGAACTTCATCGACCGGTACCCTGTCTTAGTCTGGCCACCTTAAACCCTCTTCCAGCCAAATCCAACTACCCTTAGCATGAAATGTCACTGTAGGTGGTGGCTTGACATGCACAGTACATGTTCAAGCCATCTCAGTCGATTAAGGTTGACAACCTCATCAATCGACTTGCTTTTTTGCCTCATACCGGTTCTCTAACCTCAACATTACACAAAACTCAAGCAATCGTGCAAAAGCATCTGTAGTCAAGCCCTTTGATCGTTTCATGTCTCCTACTTTAAACGTATATAACATTGTGGACCTATTTTGTCGCCCCTACTCATATCAGATAACTCCACAATTTTGAGACGTGGTTTATACAGTTTTAATCCTCTCTTCTTTGTGATAAGGGTAGTATTATTTTCCATATATCTGGGATAGGTGCAGAATCATTTCTGTTGCATTTATTTGCTGTTGATTCGACAAATAAAGATTCGGTTATCAATCTCTCCCTCCAGTAAATAGTACTGTTTCATTGTGTAACAAATCTGATAAACAGGCAAATGAAATTCTAGGTGTGAGGAGTGGTGGTGTTTTGACGAAGTCGCTTTTTTTCATCACATTGTGGAACAGCGGTACTGGATTCCAGCCACATTCCTTGGTCATCTAATTGAGTTATGGGCTGTGTAATACTGTTGAATGTCAGATAAATATGAAAATTATAGAATTTATCTTATCAAACTAGTAATATACTGTTGTACTTTAAGCGTGGTATATAGACTGGGATCTGGCCTGCTCCATACTGAATCACTGTGGGTTTACTTAGTTTTTAAGGTGTGCGAAAATACTTATATTGCATAATTTAATTTAGCTTATAATGAGGCAAGTTGATTTCTTTGTTTGCTCAATCCATATTTATTTATCTAAATTGATGCGTGTAAAAAAAACCTTCATAACTTTCCTTCTGCCAAAGTTTTTCTTAACACATAACTTTAGTCATAATTAAGAAAAAAAAAGTGTTTATTACACTGGATATGTCCACTAAACATTCAAGTTATACATCTGTATTTAATCCAAGTGGATTCAGTTGTTTACCGTTAGAGCATGGCTAAACGTCCAATTGTGCTCCAATTCCTACTGAGAGACTAACATCATTAAATATCCATTTGTTTATGGATGAATCAAAGTATGTGAACTTCGATGTGGACATTTTAGTCACTTTTTTAATGAGTATAACTTTTCTTTCATGATGTTTTTCTTTCTATATGGAACTGTGGCTCATTGATTCCGAAAGATGACTTTCATCTAATAAGTCATGAGTTCGAAACCCACTCCACTAGATAACAGTATCATTAGCCTTCACACAATAGGCTGCTTGCCTACTACACGAATGTGTGAAGAAGGTTGATGGGTGGATTTCAATCAAAAATTCAACCAATCAGATTCAATGCAGTTCTTAATGGTGAGGCAAATAATAAAAATAAAAACTCAACTTGGCTTATTTTTATGCACTAAACTGTGAAACACGCTTATTATGTGAGGATTTATGATACTTCCCAGTTGACCTGATTGAAGTTGGTGGAATGAGGTTTGAACCAGAGGCCCGTTGGTTGGTGATGAACCACACCTATTGTGTGACAGCTAGAAATATAACTTGACTGCTCACACCTTCGTAATGGGTTTGTGCAGGATTCGAATTCATGTACCGGTAGTTGAAAGCAAAGTATTTTAACTAATTATCAGTAGCTACCATATAGAGTGTTTTGTTTTTCTTTAGTCATGGCTTGCCTTATTGAATCTTTTCTGTGTAAAACTTTTTATAGACTGAAAGTAGTCACGCTATTTCAACGCCGATCAGTAGAAAATTGAATTTGGAGTCCCCTAGTACTACAAGAACGTCTACAACGTAATATGCTTTGGTATAATTCAACATGGTTTCTATCTACTTCACAACCAGAACTAAATATATTGTATCGCTAGGTTTGTGGGAGGGGGGCGCATTATGGCAGCCAGTAACGTTTAAAGCATCTTTACAGAGTATGATAAATTATATTATTCAACTGATTGAATATGAGTTTTATCGAGTCAGACTAAATATTTTTAAAAAATTGTGACCCGTCTAATCTATCTAATTTCTTGATAACTCTTACACTGATGTACAAAAGAAAGACATTCAATTATTCGTTGTATTTCAGCTTGGTATTTACCATGGACTGCGACCAATTGGGGAAACATTAGAAACCCGGGAGCACTGAATAACTGATTCGTCCTTGTATGGGCCCCCTCAGGAGTGTGCACCCGTGACCTCACCAGAGATTGAACCCAGGTCCTGGAGCCAGCATGTTACCGTTGAGCCACTGAGTCGGAATCCAATGATCCACATTTCCTGCTTCTGTCAGTTCACGATCTAGCGCGTCCTACATCCAATTTCATCGACCAGCACATGCGAAGTCTTGGGCGCGCACTGCTTGAGTCCCATCCTAGGACGAGACAGCTGTTCAGTGCTCCCAGGTATCCAACGTTTTTCCATGATGTCAGTCCTGAAATCAAAAATAAATCCCCACAAACGTCAAAATTGTATTTGCTGTTTTGTTGGTTGACATTACATTCTACGTTCATCTTCTACGGACATGCACTTAACGTTCGTGGCAATCAGTTTTTGTCCGTCATAAGTCGTAGTACACACTTATGTAGCATACGGTGGCACTTTACTGTTACTTTTTATGATGAGTTGCTTCTCGAAACGAGATTTTAGGAATCTGCCACTTCAGCGCATTCTTAAGCACTTTCACCAGTGCTAATACACAAATATGTGAAACGATATAGTTGTAAATGCGTTGATTGTAATGATGTTATGATTTTTACCGTGAAAAAGTAGTTAATTTGTTTTTATTTCTTAGGAAATACATGAAAAGTCTATTGACCTTCCACCCTGGCATCATCCTCCACCTCCTGTATCTTCTCCATCAGTTATGCATCAATCACGATGTACCACAGCGTCTACGGTGACTGAAAAGTGCAGTTTTTTTCGTAAAACAGGAGCATGTCGATTCGGTTTTCTGTAAGTAAATTATATTTAGCTCACTTATTTACCGAACTTAGAAATGGAGATCATTGCATGATATAGTTTTCTTTATCGTATTGTTAAAAGAAATGTACCATTTCTGTTTGTAGCTTTTCAGTGATGGCTCATCGACTTAGACTTTCAAACAGTTGGATCATGAGTTTGAATTTTATTTCGGTTGTCATAGTTTGAACAATCAGATAGCAGTACTATGATTCATAAAATAAGTATGATGCTTAGCCCCATGCAAGAGTTTACACTTAATCTTTAAGGTGCATTTCATTTCACGCGGAGTTCTTCAGTGAGTCGACTCAGTCATGAAGGTAGAAGTTTAACCTGTAACACCATGTAACTTGTTATAAAAGAGTCAATTAGTTTTTGCTCACCCTCATACCAATTGTGTGTGACTCATAATGTAGTGCGTAAAGGTTTGTATGCTAGTTGAGTTACATTTATTTTCATATTTTTATCAGTTATAACCCGGGGTTACTGACTGCAGTTCGACTCATTCATTTAGACTCACAACTTGTTGATTTTCTCAAAGGCCGCTTTATCCTTCAGTTGGGCATTTGAAAGGCTTTTGCTACATTATTGCGATTTCAATCTTAACTTGCTTTACGATGAATCTAGGCGTATATCACCATTTTAAGATTCTTTAACTAGTATTTGTAATCAGTTTTTTGTTTGTTATTTTTAGTTGCTCTCGTCTTCATGAATACCCAAATGCATATGACGTCGTAGTACCATGGAATAATAGTACCGATAATCATGATGGTCTTGATGAACCGATAGATAATTCGTGTTTAGTTTTACGAATTCCCAAAATGTTTACACATTATCATTTGGACTTAATCAAGAATGGTTTAGAAGATCAAGGTTTGTCTATTTTTAAGCGATAAATCTCTTGTTTCATACTTTTAATTTCCTGTGTCTATACAAAGTTGAGTTACTCAACTTCATTTTGCCTCCGTATAGCAATCCATCTGCCAACAGAGGTCGAGCAATTCGATCCTGTATAACAACTGGGAATTACATGTATCAATAGACAACAAATGATACCCGTTGCGCAAATCTTAGCTCTCGTGTCCCAGTGGCCTAGTAGATAACACTATGGCGTTTGAGGCTATGTGTACTGGGTTCGAGTCTCAGTGGGAACTAGTTCACTCACTGGGGGGTGCAGGTTTATCTGGCTTACGAGTCCTGAATAGGGCGAAACACATATCTTGGGTTCCACTGCGAGTCACCAAGATGAACACAATATAATGAAATCTCTTCTTGTGTACACAAAGCATTATCTCTTGCTACTAACTATTGCTGTTTGCGTTGTAGCTGAAATACCCCCGCATTGAGTATCTGGCACAGAACACATTATTTTTTTACTACACTAAGTTAAGATATCATCATTGGCAAATACTACCTGGCTAGGTAACGTGGATTCGATCACTGGGGTTTTTAATTGTGTTGCTTTTTGCAATGAAATGATCGACTGAGGACTTTTAAGATTAAGTCCAGCTGATGAAATTGTGTAAGTCCGTGTTGATTGATGTTAACCCAAAGTCGTTTATTGCTGGCGTTCGTCTTGTAGGTTTTTGATGATGGTAACTGTCATTACTGATTAGTGGCCATATGTGATATAGCTAAAAGGCAATGTTTACTTTTTTACTATACTCTTAAAGAATCTTTTTATCATGTTTGGAATAAAGTGAATTATTATTATTAATATTATATTGATTCCTCATCCTCCCTTTTAACGTTTTATTGATTTTATGTGTATTAGATGTCACATCGTAGCATCTTAAAACAGTATACTCTTGTTCTAGGTTCACTTTTGCCCCGTAAATTACTCATTGTCTATCTCATCGCGCAATATTGGCTGACGGCGACGTGGTTGGATTTTGGGCTACATCATTTTACCATAGAATATATTGCATCACATTTCTCCTTTCTACTTTGTTTTAACCGTTCAATTATGTCCTCTACTCATATTATGCACTCTTGTGCACTTTTAAAATCATTGCAACCTACTACTCTACAAACTGATAGGCAAATTCAGAAAAAGCATCATTTTAGATGGCAACTGGCTCTCAAGCAAATGAGCATAGACCAAATGACTATCCCGGAAGACTGCAGGTATTTACCGAAGAAAGTTGACTACCTTCAGTCACACCTATCCACAAATGTTTATAGGAATATGGGTGTAATAGTGCTGCCGAAAGTATGCCTTCATAACCTGTATGATGACGATTTAGTTTGCCTAAATAATTTCAGGTTATTTCGATAAGATCGTTTGTTTTCCAAGGAGAAATTTGGTGGGTGTGTATCAACAGTTATCAATACAAACTGGTCTACCTCCTACAATATGTGCTTAACTTCTCCAACGAAAATATTGAGTGCAATATCACTAAATATCGTCCAAAACATTTGAGTAAATCATCCTTATCATCATCATTATCATCGAGATCAACATAAGACCAGGTATTACTGCGTAACGGTCCAAGTTGCCACATCTCATATCAGCACATCAAGTAACAAGACAATAAAATGGAAGATGAATAAGGAGAGAAAAATCGGTCAAAAGAAGTAGAAAGTAGTAAAAGAGAGATAGGAGGAATGAGGAGATGATGAGACTAGGTATAGCAGTTTATATGATAAAGTGTAGATACATCTTCGCCAGTGATATCGACTCTGAACTATATCTCACCTAGAGTTTCTAACCGCTAGTTTCTGTAGTCACCTGGAGCGCAATCAACTAGACTGCATCTCCTAACATAGCTAAAAACCCACAGTCAAGAACTTCATGAAGTGATGCCATATCTTATTCTCGTCGCCCCGAGCATTTCTTCCTGCCGAAATATACTTCAATTTTATTAATAATAATCACTTTATTCCAAACAATTTTCGGCAATACTTGGAATCCTCAGCATGATACATTGCGATAAAAACATTATATATATATATATATATATATATATATATATATATATATATATATATATATATATATATATATATATATGTACATACGCCTTTACATTTCCAATAATGTAATTATAAAAAGTTAAGTAAAGGATATTTATAACGAGGAAAATTCCACACTGTTAATTAAATTATTGAAATGAGATTGTTAACTGTTACAAAATGAATATGCGAGTCCTATTCGAACACTTTTTTCCTCACATAAGATCCATGCTAGATAAGTCGAATTCTTGTACTTACCTGTACGAGCGTACAGTCTTATGTAGTTTCTTCTTTTCCTCCATGAGGATATACATGAAGAGAGCTGTGAATGAAGTGGATGCTCAGTGTCAGTTAAAATTTCTGTACATAGTTGCCTGCTAGAATTTAAATGTCTGTCAACTACAGTGTTAATCAGTTGGTCCAGAGGCACAGCACAAACCCTACTGACAGCTTCAAAGCTCTACGCAATATAATATAGTCCTTTTTTAGTAGACCAAGAAAAATCAACGGGGAACAACACAGAATAGAGAATAGGTAAAAAGTAGGAATTAATGAACTTAAAAGTAGATGCTGAGTTATACTAGAGAGCCTTAGTTACTTTGTGTAATACGTTAAACGAAAGATTTTCTTGGAAGTAGTGGTCAGCAATCTTTAACAATCGATAGTTCAGTTAGCAAGTCAGTTAGTTAAACTCAACGTCGAACCTGGCATTACTGCGTAACGGTCCAAGTTGCCACATCTCATATCAGCACATCAAGTAACAAGGCAATAAAATGGAAGATGAATAAGGAGAGAAAAATCGGTCAAAAGAAGTAGAAAGTAGTAAAAGAGAGATAGGAGGAATGAGGAGATGATGAGACTAGGTATAGCGGTTTATATGATAAAGTGTAGATACATCTTCGCCAGTGATATCGACTCTGAACTATATCACCTAGAGTTTCTAACCGCTAGTTTCTGTAATCACGTGGGGCGTAATCGACTTGACTGCTTCTCCTAACATGGCTCAACCCAATAGTCAAGGACTTCATACATTGGTCTGGCCACCCCAAGCCTTTTTCAAGCTTGAACCTACTTTGGCCAAGATTATGCCACAAGGCAGACGGTGGCTAGGCAAACGTAACACACATCTTAACCATCTCGGTCGATGAAGGTTAGCAACGTATCAATTGTCTTATTTCTTCTCCCCAATACTCTACACCTGCCTTCTGCATTACTCACGTGGTGACACCAGGATAAACAACCTATGCTGCAAAGGCAACGGTGGTCCAACACCTGAAACCTTCTTATGTCTTTCTTTGGTGGCCATGTTTCGCAGCCATACTGTAGAACAGAGCCGACTGCAGGACAGTACACACGACCTTTAATAGACAACTGGATATCGCTACGGCGCTAAAGGTGGTGTAAGTTGGCAAAAGTCAACCGAACCTTTTGTATCCGTGCAGAGATTTTGTCGGCCACTGACCAATGCACCAGGACTGATCTGACTTCCCAGGAAAGTGAAGTGTTCAACGTCTTCAACCACTTCACTCTCTGTTGTTAGCCGGTGCATCATTGAAGACCAGTCCTGGAGTAACAATTTGCGTTTGGGCGGCGAATAACGCATCCCAAACATTCTCAAATTACCACTCAAGGTGTCCAGAAGACTGCATCTTGTTAGCGTCTTCACCTAACAGGACTATGTGATTTGTGTATTGTATGTCAACCGAAAATTCTTCAGTGATTAGGTTAAGCCCTGTGTAGTCAGATGTGAGTGAGACCTACATGAGAACATCTATAATAAAATTGAATAAGAATGGAGAGAGTGGGCATCCTTAACGGATACCACGTAGCTTACACAACTCACCCGACATCTCACCATAGGCTCTAACATGATCACGTGCGTTTGAATGAAGAGCCTTCAATAAGATGATGTACTTACTCGGTTCCCCCTTCAAGTGAGGGACATTGCCATAAGACTTCTCGATCGACGGAGTCGAATGCCACCTTCAGGTCGATAAATACAGCCAGTGTCGGATGTTGGTAAGTGTTTCTGTATTTCAGGATTTGACGAACTGAAAATGTCTGGTAGACACATTCACACCCAGGTTTGAAGCCTGCCTGGTTCCCTCGGGCTTACTCTTCCCGAACTCCATTCAGGGGTCTAATGAATCTGCAATCTTATACACTATGTTCGCCAGGCTGATTCCTCTGTGGTTATCACAAGAAAACTCTTCGCTTTTCTTGAAGACTGGAATAATCAGTGATTCAGACCACTCAGAGAGGATCATATATGACTCCCATAAACTAGTTAATACTTCAGTTAACTTGACCAAAAACATTCTACCACCGTCCTTGTATACTTCAGAACTAGCCCGTTTGGTCCTACTGCCCTTCTTCGTTTCAAGTTACCTACTGCTTTCTCGACTTCTGCAAGTGTTGGGTGGCCTACCTAAATGTTCTATTTAGGACCCGACTGAATAGCGTGCAACGCAATGGTAGCTGGAGGACAGTTGAAGTGTTCCTCGAAGTTTTCTGCCCATGGTTGCGGTCGTTTTCCCTTCTCCGCTATAGTCTCACTAACCGTTGTTGACCTTTTCCTCCTAGTTTCCTTAATAAGCCTAAATAACTGTCTACTGTTACCGATCGCCGCTGCCTTTTCCATCTCTTTAGCCTTCTCTATCCACCACTGTTTGCGGTGATTGTGTAGACTTTTTTTGAGTCTACATTTGAGTTATGTTCGCTCCTCATTGTACTCAGAGCCCACAGGGATGTGTTTGCGTGCATTCATTAATTCTGAAGAAGCTGCTAATATCCACTGGGTCTTCTTAATCACTTTGAGAGTCGGTTGCGGTTTTCAACGCAAAGTAGAGATGACACCAAACTTCTTCTGGATGAGTGGTGGTGTTCTGTTCTGAGGATTGCGTAGCCAGTTTCTCACTAAAAGCGGTCTTAGTGCTCTCATCGTCGAGTTGCACTCGCAATGGTCTTGGTGCTAAAGTTTTCTGCGTCCATTGAGATGCAGACATAGACGCGCTCAAACCAGCGAGTTGTCGTTATCTCATCACATGCTCTAAAAGGAGCGGCAGTTTTTCACCGACCCTCTCCATCGATGACTGATAGCAGTGTGGTCTATCTCTATCCATCACTGAGTTGAACTCGATGGATACCACGGCAGACAATGTCTTTCTTTATGTCTGAAGTTTGTGCTAGTTAGAAACAAACAGTTATCTGAGCATAGTTGTAGTAGAGACGAGTAAATACAAGCACACACAACAAATATCTATGTCATACCTGATTGTAGTTTCTCTGATTTGTCAACTTTTGCTGACAAGTTCGACTTCTGGTAACTTTTTGTCTATAATCTGTAGAGATTTTAATTCATGTGACTGCAGTTTCCTTGTATCGTTGGGTCATGAAAATATGGTTAACTTTTCTGCTCGTCTTGACAACACACGTGATTTAGTACTTACAAATGATTCTAGCGAATATGAAGCTTGTAGATGGGCTCCGCTGCTGAACTCTGACCACTATATATTGTACACGTTTTGCCCAAAGTGTATGGCAAGTTACATCAGAAGTCTTTTGGACACCTTTCCAAGAAAGTTCAGTACATATGCTATTCACAGGAGAATATACCATGTTTGAGTAGTATGTTTATAAAAACAGACTAGTATATTTTCTGATGAAGTTTTAGACAACACTATCATCAGTATCATAAGCTATCTCAGATTGTCTCGATATTTGCTGTTCTGCTGAAACAATCTACACAAGATTTGATAGACTTCCCTCTCTTCATCTCAAGAGGTTCCGGAGAGGAGAAGAAAGGTCGTACATAGTAAGAGATCATCATGGCTTTAAAAGACCTAACTGCGTAATTAAGTCTGCAATACAACGTCTAAATACTATATACAACCAAGAGTTTTTATCGTGTAAGAACCCTTCCATTACATGCAACTTATTTAGAGTTAATTGGTAGAAAACAGATAGCGAAAGAAGCGTGTTCAGATATCTGTGCGTTAAACAAGTCATTCATACATCGGCAAGCTGATTTCATCTTTCCTAGCGTCCGTAGTTAAATGTATAGCTGCTTTCCTGTTCTCATTATGACGTATTTAAATGTCTTAAATCATTGAATCCATCCAAAAGCTTAGGTCCTGATGGTATTTCGAGCATTCTATTTAGAAAATGTGCAGATATTTCTTACTATTTTCTTACAGATATCTTCAATGCATCGTTTTCCAAAAGTACAATACGTGCTGGTTGTAAGGAGATCAAAGTTGTGTGTGTGTGTGTGTGTGTGTGTGTGTGTGTCTAATTTATCTGTATCTGATATTAAGTTTCCACCCATTGCTATAACTTCCCCTTTTTTGAAAACAATAAGGAAATTACTTCTCCTTGTGCTTAAACCCCCATTACAGGCCTTCAGAAATCCATAGCCATTTGCTTAAAAACACAGGAGAAGTACTTTAGAGGCTGCTTTTGTCTTACATCATAATACTGTTTCCAGTCTTGACAAAGGTGTTAAATATGTTCGTTCTGCCTTCTTGGATATCTCATCAGCCTTTGACTCTGTTTTTAGATTACTCTTGTTAAATAACTTTCCCATAGCTCATACTTGCAGAAGAAAGTGGAGATGGATTGGGCATAGACCAAGAAGACCGTTTGGGGACATCACGCGCCAGGCCCTCGAGTGTAATCCAAAGGGGAAACGACGAGTTGGGCATCCGAGCCCTGGGTGACATGGAGGAGATCATGTGAGGAAGAAATCAAAGCTTGTGAGCAGTCGTGGAGCCAGGTTCAAAAGACTGCAGAGAACTGAGTGCAATGGAGGCGTGCTACTGAAGCCCTATGTTCCACTAGGAACCCAAAAGAAAAATAATAATAATAATAGCTCGTACTTTGCTATTGGTTACAAAGTGGCTATATTCTTATCTTTCTGAAAATAAACAGTATGCTGTATATAAAGAAAGGTGCTCCACTTCATTGCTTACTGAAGCTGGTATGCCTCAAGTTGCTGTAATTTCTCCGTTTCTGTTCTTATTCTTTTCATATGATTTACCGTATTCTGTTAAAAACCAGTTTTATTAAGTATGCTGATGACCTGATAGTTGCTATTCTAGTAAACTCTCACTTAGATTACTCTGGACTAAATGGATTCTTGTCTGTAATTGACCAGTGGTCTCAAGTTAAATCCTTGTAAACGTCAAACTGTTGATTTTAGCCTGAACTGCTTATGTCCCATGACTCCTGTTGTATCGAATGTTAACTACCTTGGATTAAGGTTTATTTCTGATCTTTGTTGACCGTCTCATTTCTTGTTGTCTTCCAGGAAAATCTTTCGTTTAACGTATTACACAAAGTAACTAAGGCTCTCTAGTATAACTCAGCATCTACTTTTAAGTTCATTAATTCCTACTTTTTACCTATTCTCTATTCTGTGTTGTTCCCCGTTGATTTTTCTTGGTCTACTAAAAAAGGACTATATTATATTGCGTAGAGCTTTGAAGCTGTCAGTAGGGTTTGTGCTGTGCCTCTGGACCAACTGATTAACACTGTAGTTGACAGACATTTAAATTCTAGCAGGCAACTATGTACAGAAATTTTAACTGACACTGAGCATCCACTTCATTCACAGCTCTCTTCATGTATATCCTCATGGAGGAAAAGAAGAAACTACATAAGACTGTACGCTCGTACAGGTAAGTACAAGAATTCGACTTATCTAGCATGGATCTTATGTGAGGAAAAAAGTGTTCGAATAGGACTCGCATATTCATTTTGTAACAGTTAACAATCTCATTTCAATAATTTAATTAACAGTGTGGAATTTTCCTCGTTATAAATATCCTTTACTTAACTTTTTATAATTACATTATTGGAAATGTAAAGGCGTATGTACATATATATATATATATATATATATATATATATATATATATATATATATATATATATATATATATAATGTTTTTATCGCAATGTATCATGCTGAGGATTCCAAGTATTGCCGAAAACTGTTTGGAATAAAGTGATTATTATTAATAAAATTGAAGTATATTTCGGCAGGAAGAAATGCTCGGGGCGACGAGAATAAGATATGGCATCACTTCATGAAGTTCTTGACTGTGGGTTTTTAGCTATGTTAGGAGATGCAGTCTAGTTGATTGCGCTCCAGGTGACTACAGAAACTAGTGGTTGAAAACTCTAGGTGATATAGTTCAGAGTCGATATCACTGGCGAAGATGTATCTACACTTTATCATATAAACTACTATACCTAGTCTAATCATCTCCTCATTCCTCCTATCTCTCTTTTACTACTTTCTACTTCTTTTGACCGATTTTTCTCTCCTTATTCATCTTCCATTTTATTGCCTTGTTACTTGATGTGCTGATATGAGATGTGGCAACTTGGACCGTTACGCAGTAATGCCAGGTTCGACGTTGAGTTTAACTAACTGACTTGCTAACTGAACTATCGATTGTTAAAGATTGCTGACCACTACTTGTCATTACTGTCCAATTGATATTGTCGGTAATATAAAGAAATCCTCTCTGGATCCTATGCGTCAATAGTGGCCGATAACTTTGGTTCAGTCAACGATTGGAAATTACAAGTTTTCTTGTAAAGATTGGTGAAGTATGTAAATATTTCCATAGACTTCGCTCACTCTTAACTTCTTTTGACTTTGAATTTCGATTAATTCAAGTTGTTCTTCTATCATAAATGAATAAATTTTAGATTCTGAACTTGAAGTCGATGAAAATCAGTTATTGTTGGATTATCATGACTTCTACCATGATGTTCGTAATGAGATGGAGTCAAGGTGGGGCAGGATTTCAGTGATTCGGACATGTCGTAATCAAGCTGATCATCTGCGTGGAGCAGTTTATGTCGAATTTGCAAGAGGTCCAAGTGCAACTTGGGATGCTGCTGAAGGTTGTAACGGTCGTTGGTTTGCTGGACGTCAGTTAACTTGTACTGTTGTTCGATTAGGTGGTGGTTGGAGAGAAGCCATTTGTGGTTAGTTTCTAATGTTAATGCTTTTGTGGTTCCCAGTTAACAATAATAATTTTATACTAAGACTTCCCGTCGCCCATTTTGTTATTGCAGTTATAGAATCGGTTATAGATTTACAAAAGTTATTCGATTAAAAGAAAGTTAGTCTTTCTCGATGGATATAAAGTTAAAGCTTATTATGCTGTAAGTGAATTGAACATTCATCTTCGATTAGTGTTTGTTAAATATATGGGGTTTATTCTCGTAGATATTGCATGATTGTAAATCCTTTATTAATACTTGTTTGCCTTTGTGAGAAATAGTTCAGTTGTAATCTATTTAGCGGCTAAAATTGCAATCCAGGATGCGCTTTCGTCTTGTTTGGGACTCGTCAGGTGGATGTACTTACACTCCAGTGAGTAATCTAGTTCCCACTGAAACTCGAGCCCAGTATCAATCGCTTCAAACACCAAAGCATTATTCAACATACCACTGAGGCACAAAAGCCCCCACTTGTGCTACAGATATCGTTTTTCGTCTATTGATTCTTGTAATTTCCCCTTGCTATACTGAGTTGAAATGCTTGACTGCTAGAAGCTAAGTAGACTACAATATAGTGAATATCCGGGCAATGTCGAAACGCCCGCATAGGGACTCATTTGCCAAAAGAGGTTCGGCGTTTCGACCCTTATACCAACGGGAAATTACCAGTATCAGTTGTTTATGCAATGTTTCTCTGTGCTGAATAAATCAAGGGGGATTTTTTAAACTTCCACTGTCAAAACTCAAAAACAGAACTTAATATTTCATTACTATTGCGTGTGAATACGTATGAATTCAGATTATTATTGTTTTTCAAATAGACATTGTTCCAGTCACATTACGCTTCATTGCTTTAGTTGTAATTCTTATTGGGAAAGATTCTTTTTTAAACTGCAAGTTTTAGAGGTTTTATTCCTGTCTCTCTCGATTTTTCGTACATTACCTTTCGAATTCGTGATGCCAAGTTTTGAGGTATACTAACTATACCTTCGAGTCAAGTCCTAAGCTTGAGTCCTGTATTCGTTATTAAACTTTCACTAGTTGTTGATCAGTAGTTGTGACCTCTATAGTCGTAATGCCTTTTAGTTAATATGAGAGTAAAACTTGACCACTGTTGTGGAATGTAATTCCATTTTATTTGGTTTATTAGATGTATAATAGTTAAAAAACGTATTATTGACGGGATCACCTTCGGGAACAATTTATTATCCACAGACATATCAAGATAACTCTACACAGTTGAGGCATCGTTTTAGCAAAGTTCTAGTTCTCTCATCTTCTTTGTGATGTAGGTCATAGAATTTTACATATATCTGAAACGCGTATCAAGTTATTATTGTTGTACGTATTTGGTGTTGATTCGTTAAACAATGATTCGGTTATCAATCTCTCACTCTACCCTACTTAATTAGTTTTAAGGATTGTCGCTGTGTTCTATTCTCCTCTGTAGTTGTGTACAATTGCATGCATAGTTATAGCCCAACTTTTCTCTAGACTTATAATTTTACTAGGATCTTCCAATTTTGATCTAGCTAAGTTTCTATGCTCAGACAGCCTTAAACCTATGTATTTGACGTCGCAATCATTACAAGGAATTTGGTAAATCAAATTATTTTGCCTACTTAGTTCAATAGAATCTTTAAGCCTACAAAAATTGTAGGTTTAAGTGCCAATCTAATCCTAGAGCGTAGAATGGGAGTCAACTCTCTACCTCAACTTCATCGATTTTGAAAAGGCCTTCGATAGCGTCGACCGATGGTAATTTGCCAGGCAGCTGCTTCAACACTACGCTATTAGTGCCACAAACCTTTATGAACTTCATTCAATAGCTATATGATGACGATGATGATACTACATGACGAGTGATTCACAATGGAAATCTAAGTTATGCCTTTGAAGTGAAAACAGGAGTAAGACAAGGTTACTTACTATCACCAGTGATCTCCCGAATGTGGTTGATTGAACTGGATCATGCAACAAACTGTGAGGAGCTGTGAGAAGATGGGCATACGCTGGCTGGACCGATGAAAAGCTCCCAGAAGATTTGTATCTCACCAATGATGTCTAATGTTTTGTTGTACGAACACGAATATCTACAGGCAAAAACCAACAAGTTAGCCGAAGAGGTGAGGCAGCGAAGGAAGATGGGACTTCCTTCCGGTGGACGTAGAGAAGACAGAGGTGATGAAGATACCCAACCAACGACCATAACAACAAGCACCAATCACAATCAGTTGGAGAAACCTATAGGATGTACTCTCTTTCATCTACCTAGGCAGCATCGTTTCAACCACAGATGGGACAGATGAGGACGTCAAATCCAGGATAGGAAAAACAAGGCAGGCCTTCCTGCATTAATCTAAAATTAGTGTGGAGATCCACTGCACTCAGCATAGAGAGTGAACAAAACTTAGATTTTCAACATTAATGCCAGTCAAGTCAGTGCTTGTACATTGTTCAGAGACTTGGGGCGTTACGAAAAGGATTCCCAATAAACTGCAGACATATATCAACAGCTGCCTACGCTCAATGCTGAAGATCAGATGGCCAGAATAAGCAACATGGAACTCTGGCTGGCTGTCAACGAACCAACCAAGAACCCATCACCCAACAAATGTGCAGAAGAAGAAAGTGGAGATGTATTGGACATACACTGAGTAGACCATTTGGAGAAATCACGCGTCAAGTTAGGCCGTCGAGTGGAACGACGATTTGGGTGTTGAAGGGTGATATGTAGGAGATGGTGTGAGGAAGAAATGAAAGCTTGTTGGCAGTCATGGAGCCAGGTTCAAAAGGCTGAAGAGAAGAGAGTGAAATGGTGACGTGCTACTGAAGCCCTATGTTCCACTAGGAACCCAAGTGACAAGTAATAATAATAATCTCAGCCTTATTGAAAATCCTACTTGATTTCTCTGTGGTATCCTTTTTGTACGCTAACACTGTCGAGGTTTTGAATACTCATTACCTCTCCTATATCTACTACCTGCAATACAAACAAAGTGAGCGAATTAGAACTTCGAAACCATGCCTCAACTGTATGGAGTTACCTTGATATGACTGTAGACTGTGTCTGAAAGGCAATCCAGTGGATAATACCTTTTCACTGTCATATTTCTAGTTAAATCACGTAAAAATGTTTTTTATTTGTAAGTTCCATGATTTGGACGGTAAGGATTTATCAATTAAAAAAACAAACAACTTTTATTGTAAACAATATTTATGATACAGTATAAAATTCTCAGCATATAATATTTCAACAAAGTCATTCTCAGAACAATATTTTTAAGCGAAATGATGTTAATAATAACAATATTAAAGACACGAATATGAAACAGCTTGCTAGTAATTGCATTAACATCTGATCTAGAATGTAAAATCATTAAAAAAGCAAGCGTAAGTTTGATACTGTCGATTCATTCAACCAGTACTAGAATCTTCAATGCAAGCTAAGTATCTGAGATATAAAAAATATGATGTATTTTTGCTCATTGAAAAGTTCATTTTGATTTAAAGTGATATTTTTTTCCCTTTATTTTGTTAAAACAAACAATGTGAGCGAAGAAATATTTCTTTTCAATTAGTTCTTCATCAATCGCTCTACACTAATATAGCATTTTCAAACGTAGAATTACATACCAATCTAGTGGTGAGAGTTGTTCAGTGAAAGGTTATCAATCTCAAAGTGTCAAGAAGGTGATAATTGATCAGGTAATTAAGACAGTTAACTAAAGCAAAGATTAATTATCGTAGAAAGATTTTGTGAACAGGTTCTTACATAATTGATATTTTATATAATGATAACTAAAGAGCAAAAATGAACTGTTACGTAAAATGGTAAATTGTTGACGGTAATTAGAGAGAGTAGGGGGAGAGAAAGATGGTTAAGTCTGTAATAATAATAATAATAATAATAATAATAATAATAATAATAATAATAATAATAATAATAATAATAATAATAATAATGGAGCTATTAAAATATTAGTTATATTGAATTGTGTGGTGGATGCAATGAAGAGTGTTGTTGTAATAAATGAGCTATACAGATGGCCAAGGCAACGAAAGAGGCTGTACGAATCTCTTCTGAACACACAGACTTGGCTTGTGTAGGTGGATTCCTATGACTTCTGCTGTATGTAAAAGATGAACTCGTAGAGAATGGGTGAAGTGAGAAGGAATGTGATAAATAACTTTAAAGGCATTATGAATGTTAACTCGGTGGCCGGTGTCAATCAGATGAGAGAGTATTGAGCTTCGTGTCAATCTGGTTTCCCGCTTACTTAGCCATAAAGGATGATGTAAAAAACTGTTCACAAAATCTTTCTACGATAATTAATCTTTGCTTCAGTTAACTGTCTTAATTACCTGATCAATTATCACCTTCTTGATACTTCGAGATCGATAACCTTTCACTGAACAACTCTCACCACTAGATTGGTATGTAATTCTACGTTTGAAAATGCTATATTAGTGTAGAGCGATTGATGAAGAACTAATTGAAAAGAAATATTTCTTCGCTTACATTGTTTGTTTTAACAAAATGTCTAAATGGGAACTTTATTTTGTTATTATCTTGATAAACGACTAGTTGAAAATATTTTCAATATATGCTGGACTACATGAAAGGGAAAAATTTCAGTGTATTTGTTCTCTGGAAAAGTTTGGATAGCCCAGGGTTTAAGCAAGCTGTCTTTTTAACTGAAATAAATTTTACACTTATTTTTCTTTTTGGTTAGAATCGGTGAATATGATTGTCATACTGGTAAATCTATGTTTACTGTCAGTTGTTTTTCACAGTCATTTTAGGCAATGGTCATCTAAATTCAAAGTACACCTCATTTTCATTTGTTTGGACGAAATTGATGAATACTTTCCTGCATCTTCCCTCCAATTTTCATCAGTATGAAAACAGTTTTCAATACAGATCATTAAGGAATCAGCTAAATTAAATTTTTTTGGAATTAAGCTGTTTTTTTAATCATTCAACTTCTCTCAGATGGTTGTTGTTTATCCGTTTTTTTCAATGTTTTCTCTTGCTAGTTGTTTATTTACCTTTCGCTATTTGATTTTCTAACCATCATTGGGACTCACAGTATTTTTCTTGTTTTTATAGGTCTCTATCATCGTGGTAAATGTCCAAAGGGTGATCTTAACTGTAATTTTTTACATGTATTTCTTAATCCTGGTGAAACTACTAAAGACTTGCAAAGCACGCTATGGCGTCATTTGGGTAGTCTTCCTAGTCCAATGGATAATGCTCATAGTGATCACGTTTCCTCTCCGATGATGAAGTAAGCTATTTCGCCTGTAAAATACTCGACTATTCTGTCAGTTAGTTAGCTTTATTCATAAGTTAAATGACCTGCTAACAGGTCGCTCACCTGTTATCTAGAAAAGTTCATCATTGTTCATATGTTACACAAACGAAAAGATAAACCGACGTAGAACCTGGCACAAAAGTGCGTCGGTCCAAGTTGACCCTACTATACAACATCATACACAGAATAAGTCGATCGAAAAGAAAATAACATCAAAGTCAAAAAAGTGTTATGAATGGGGAGCAAATAGGCAGATGATCGTTAACGAGAATATTCGAAATGTCGAAGATGATGAGTAAACCTAACCCCCTATGTTCATGGTAGCAGATGTCGGTTGGGATATGTTGCACAACATTAAAATTAGCTTTTTATAATCATTTTTCTTCGTTAGCTGAACGCTTATTGAGTGACAGATAAACAGATAAAACCAACGTAATTTATGACTGAGAAGTACATCGGTTCAAGTTACCACAGTTGACAGTACGATGCAAAGAACAAGTGGATCAAAAAAGGAGTGTTATTAAAGTAGACAAATCTGTATGGGAAGTGAACGAATTGAAAAAATGAAGGTTCATGAAAATATCTAAACTTCTAAATATGGCGCAGTCTGTAATGAGAGACTTCATGGACTGGTGTCAGTTCTTAGTCAGACCACTTCCCTTCAAACTCAGCCGTACTTCGGTTAACATCTAACTTCGCGGTAGTCGGTGAATCGGCATATACCACACATGTTGGAACCATCTTAGACGGTTTACGCTGACTACCTCATGGAATGACTTGTCTTCCTTCCCAATGGCTTCTACCTAACCTCATTATCAGCCACATCATGATTCCACCGTATGCTAGCAATGTTACAGAGACGTCTACTATCAAAACTTGTAACATCTTAATATCTTCTACCTTCAACGGCCGTTCAGTGGGACAAGGCGAACTGCAGTGCAGTATTCTTATCCTTTAATAAGTAGTCGGATATCTCGCTTATTTAGTACAATGAATTGTATGGTTGCTTTAAATTCATCTCTTAGCACCAAATACTATTTTTTTCCAGTTAAAAGTTGATAATTGTGACACGAAAGTCTAGTTTGAGAACTTAATTAGTAAAGTAATGAAACCCAACCTGGTATATTTATGTATTAGGCTGAGGCACACTTGTTGTTCGAGAGATTGTAAGACTACTCGGCTGCCCAGGCCGAAGTAGATGAAGTGGGGATCGAACCTAAGACCTACTGCACGAAATTGGAATTTCTATGCTAAAGCTGTGCATCTTCGCCAGAATTTAATTTCGTAAACATACAGTTAAAACAGATTCAGGCCTTGTACAAGAGCGCAACAGTTGAAATCCACTCAAACTCGTGCAGTAGGCAATGAGATATATCTATTATGCGAGGGCTCATCATCATCAATATCAACATAGGACCAGGCATTACTACGTAACGGTCTGAGTTGCCACAGCTCATATCAGTACATCGAATAAAAGATGAAGGTAAGAAAATTCAGTCAAAAGAAATATAAAGTACTAAAAGAGAGGAAGGAAGAATGAGAAAATGGTGAGATTCGCTATAGCGTCGTTAAGATGAGGATAATGTGTGTATACATCTGCGCCACTGACATGGGTTCTGAGCCATGTGATCACCTAGGGTCTCCAACCACTGGTTCCTCTTGTCCCGCGGACCCCAAGCGGCTAGTCTGCATCACCCCACATGGCTCAAACCAACAGTCAGAGACTTCATACATTGGTACCATATTTAAGTCTGGCCACTTCGAGCCTTTTTCCAGCCTGGACCCACCTCAGCCAATATTGTGTGACGAGGCAATCGGTGACTAGGCATACGTGACATGTGTCCCAGCCAGTCATCTCAATTGATGAAGGTTCACAACCCCATCAACAGATTTACCTCTTCTCCCTGAAACTCTACACCTGACTTCTACGTTACTCATGTGGTGACACCACAGAATACGGCCTATACTACGAAGGCAACGGTGGTCAAACACCTGAAGCCAGCCTTCTCATGTCTTCCACCTTGAGTGGCCATGTTTCACAGCCATAGAGTAGAACAGAGTGGACTACTGTGCAGTACACGTCACCCTTAATAGACAATCGGATATCACGACCGATAGCTGCTACCTTGACGCGGTAGTCGGGCTTGCATATCACAATGACCCCAACGAGCTATGCTGGTGGAACACTTGTTCCCTCGAGGTCCTATCATACCAGAAAGGTCTGTTGGATAGTGGTTAGACGAAAAGCAGTTACTGTTATGGTGTAAATTAGTACACTATGATGGGGGAGGTCCTAGGGCGAAGTCATACTGCTGCTAGCTGGATGGGGTGTGACAGCAGTAAGGTGTTTCCCTTAGATGACCAGCACTGCCTTTGCTGATGCTGCCTTCTCAGTGGAAGGTGGGGGGTTAGAAAAGGTCGGCCCCAAAAATAACACCCAACCACACCGGTGGTGTCGGTTCATTTGTCGTTTCTTTTCATGTGAGGGCTAATGATAATAACTGGCTACCTAAACCTGGAGGAGTGGAGCAGTGTTTAACCTGCGACCTACTGGTTGAAGGTTAACCACCTTAACTAATGAGCCACAACTCTTCACTTCAAGACTATATCTAAAGATAAATGGGATTCAAAAGCAATGACATAAAATCACCAAAGGTTAGTAAAAATGCTCGAAACCTTGAAGATGGTGTAGAGTTTGCATTTACATATTAGCAAGGATAAAGATTAATTGCAGCGAAGAAAAATGTTTCTTTTCGACGATGTCATTTATTACGTTATACATCTGCATCATTGTGACTAAATTTGAATAATATCATCAAGAGTTTTGAATTATTGATTTGGATACCTTATTAAATTTGTTTGGCATGGCACACACTGATACATTATTAGATGCCTGATGAAGTTTCAAGCATAAATTACCATTACTCATAATCATGTAATCACACAGCTTTCAACATCTGATGTTAATATTATTTGTCTTTAGTGGTGCTGAAATGTTCCATATCTCTGATATACGTGTTTCGTCATTCCTATTATATGTGTTGGATGTAGATTCGATGAGCAATGATTCAGTAATCAGTCTCTCTTTGGGTTTAAGTACAATGTCTTTCTCCAACTCTATTGTGTGATTGTAGGTTAATGCATGCATTGCAGTAGCCGAGTTTTTCTCTAGATTATAGATCTTATTTAGATCTGTCATTCTGTATTTAGCTAAATTCCCATTTTTCGCTATTCTAACCAACCCTGACCAGCTGGGCTAGTTTAAATGATGTATTTGGCTTCCCAGTTATCCACATATTGCCAACATATGATAGGTAAGGGTTAATACATTTACTGCGTTGAGGTAGGAACATATCGACGCGTATAAACTCAGTTGTAGGCCCAATCCAATGAACGAGGAGAATTAGCTATGTTGGATTGCAGAGTAAAACAAAGAGTAGGTGGTGGTTTAGATACTACTGTCTACAGTGAACCAACACATTCTAACGGGAATCTAGACTCATCTCATCAATTATCAATCAGGGCGCGTTAGTTGAAATGTCGAAATAACAGAGCTAGAAAACCCACTAATCAGCGCAAGGACTTAAATAACGCATTCAAGCACAATGGAAACGTTACTGAGTAATAATTATCCTCTAGTTTACCAAAAAATTCATTGTAACATCAGAAACCAAGTATTAATAGTAATACGAATATGAATAATAACGACAACACAAGTAGAAAGCGGTTCACAGCCTCCATTGTGTTACCCTCTAAGGAAGATATATCGGAAACTTTTCATAGGATCCTCAACAAGCTGGGATTAGGGTGGCATTAAAGCCTAAAAACTCACTCGAATATAAGCTTTGCCAGCTTAAGGATGTGATAAAGTCAATTAAGCAAAATAATCTAATCTATCAAATTCCATATAATGACTGCGAGGTCAAGTACATAGATGAAACTAGTCCGGCTGGTCGGGGTTCGTTAGAATAGCGAAAAATGGGAATTTAGCTAAATACAGAATGACAGATCTAAATAAGATCTATAATCTAGAGAAAAACTCGGCTACTGCAATGCATGCATTAACCTACAATCACACAATAGGCTCGGTGAAAGACCCAAAGAGAGACTGATTACTGAATCATTGCTCATCGAATCTACATCCAACACATATAATAGGAATGATGAAACACGTATATCAGAGATATGGAACATTTCAGCACCACTAAAGACAAATAATATTAACATCAGATGTTGAAAGCTGTGTGATTGCATGATTATGAGTAATGGTAATTTATGCTTGAAACTTCATCAAGTATCTAATACTGTATCAATGTGTACCATATCAAATAAACAAATTTAATATTGAATTACATTTTACCACAGTACCTAAGTTGATTTGGATAGTCTGTGCCTAAGGTTTTGGTTATATGAATGAATTATGATGCTTTTGATTGGGTTTCCAAATGTAATAGGGTAAGTTGTGCAATAGTTGGTATAATTTGAAATTTATGCCAGAAATAGGTGGGTTTATTAATTATCCTATCCAATTACCTCATTACGCCATATTTGTTTTGCGATCTTATTTAGTTCTCACATTTTTCTTAAGATATTTTACTCATCTGTTGATTTTCTCCTGTTTACCAAAGTTTCCTAAGTGGTGTAGGTGTTAATTACTTTCTTGTTTCGTTCTTTTGGGTATTTTTGCATTGCTAATTGTAACATATCACTATCGACACTCCGCCTGATATCGGTGATAAGTTGTTTGGGGACATTGACTACTTTACTTACCTTGAAAGTTGGATCAATTTCGATGGTCGATGAAGTCGCGACACAGATATGAAAGGCTCCATCGGTTTTCGGTGCTAGTAGGATATTCGAATGTCTATTATTGAATTTTTACGCAGTGTTTACAGATGGAGTATATGTATTTTTTTTATCCTTTTAATTTAGGTCTTATTTAAAATATTCTTATATACATCATATTGACCGACGGAAAAGACGAAGACAGTCTTCGCGTACTTCATCATCATCGTCATCATCATCATCATCATCGCCGCTGCCATCACCATCCTCCTCCTTAACAAGAAGTGATCAATCTTCCAGGTCGAAGAAGAAGTTTAAAACTTCAAGCCGATCACATCACCATAGATATAAATATCACAGAAAGGATAGGCGTAGTAATAGTACTAAATACTCAAGATCCCCTTCACCATCCACCCACAAGAGACACAAGAAACATAGTAAGGAGAAATCACCTAGACCTAGACGGCTGAAGCTAATTAGTACTAAGTAACCATAAGTAGAGTTCAATACTCATTTTATTCATATTCACAAGTGATATTTTTCCTCTCCTTGGACAAGATCTCCGCTTTTTTTCTCCCATTTCTCCCATTCTATCATCTGTAAATACATTGCACATGTATGCATTTGTATGTACATAAATTTATCCCTTTCTTTTCTTACCCATTTATGTCATATATGCATTGTAAATAAACTCATCAAAGAAGGTTTGTAAATCGCTTGTTTTTACTTTCTATGCATTTGTTCTCATTATTTACTTATTGTTATTCCTTCGGAACAATCGTAACAACTATGACCTAGATGTTGATAGTCCTTTGTTTGTCTGTTTATTTGTGCTCCTAGGTTGATGCTGTTGTTGGTTTATCGTGGGATTCAATTGATTTTACGTAAATACCTATTTATAAATGTACACACACACACACACATTTGGATGTTTTGTCCATTTTTTCGCCTACTCTAAACTAGTAATTACAGAAATTATAAGCTTTCGATCTACCTTAAGGCAATGATTACTTTGTAATAGTAATTATTCAAGAAACGCTTATAGGATCATGTAATGTCGCCTAGTTCATTTTATCAGGTTAAAAGGAAACAAACTTATCACAGTGTGTGATTATGTGAAGTTTCTAGTATATTTTTCTCTCTCTCTAAACGCTTTTCACAAACATTATTATTATCATCCCCCATTATCAATACAAGTCTACCAAACCACCACTATCTCAGATAGTCAAACTAATAAACATTATTATCTTTCAAGTAGTATTCATCACGGAATGACATAATTTGGAGAACCATTGGGAACCTCGTAGCATTGGACGGCTGTTTCGTCCTAATGTGAGACTCCTCAGGAGTGTACACCCACGTCCACTCCAAGTTCACGTAATGCTGATTAGTGACATACTTCAAAATGAACATCAGGAAGTTCCAATAAGAAGCTGTGACCTGTGGGGTCAACTAGTCGGAAGGGAAGCGGACGCAAACTGAAGACCTTGGTTGGTAGTCGCACCATATCTGGAATCGACAGAAGTAGGGAATCGTAGGACATTGGACTGAATGAACGGCTGATGCGTTTGCTGTGAAACCTGGAGGCCCTGACTTTGACCCCTGACAGGGCTATGAGTTCATACTGCTGAGAAGTCCCATACTAGGACGAAATAGCTATCCAGTGCTTCCACGTTTTCAGTGATTTCCCAACTTATGTCAGTCTGTGATGAATGTTACCGTAAGGGTGAAATCCTCATTAACCTTGAAAAACAATATTATCCTTTAAAATGAATCTTGCGTTCATGGTCTCTTAATAACTGGTTAGTAAACAGTCTTGTTGGGGGTATCGATAGCATGTATTTAGAACGGCATGGGATCGTTACTGAATACCAGTATGTTTCACTTCCCCATATGTTTGTCAGAAGAGTTCATTTCTTTACTGAAACCTGTTTCTAACCAGCGGTATATTACGTTGGTTTAGGTAGTAAATTAAATTTTCAAGCGATAGGCTCTGAGTTTAAATTTTTATCTGACTAACTGGACGTTGGCAAATGGGTAGTATCATAAGGCATTGCTAATAGCCTAGTACACGAGCTTGTACTCTGTTACTGATTTGTATTAGTTGTCATATTTACGATCTTCTCATGTTTTAACTTGTGAACTGTAGTTTGGAATCTCTGGGTAATTTGCATGACTTAGGGAACATGTCTAGTCGTCGTACCTTCGATGTAAATATTTGTTTGACAGTCTATCGTCTAGTAAGTATCGACAAAGGTTGGAAGACATTATTATCATTACCATGGCTAGATGTCTCAATTAGCTTGTCTGTGAACCGTCGCGTTTTTTCTTTCTAAAATCGCATTAGTTACCTTAGAATAACTTCGTGAAAATTACGTTATGTTTTCAAAATGTGTGTTTTGATGAGTGTTTAGGTTGCGGATTGCTGTTGGTGAAGATTCCGGCATCTAGTACTTGGTGTAGTCAATACAAACCTTAGTTCCTTCTGCTGGGGGGGGGGCTTGTTCTCTATAATCTGTCTCTGGTTACAGAACTAGGTGACACAAGTTTGAATCTCAGATGGGACGTCAGTTCCCTCGAGGTCGCGGATACGCCTTACTGACGAGTTCCTAAATGGACGAAATCAAAGAATAGGGCTTCCTGCCGACTGCATCCATCCAATTGATGTGTACTTTAAATGATATGCGAACACTATGTAAGTGAGATAACTTCTCGAATTTATCGACTGAAAATAAAAAGTAGAAATACAGTCAAATTAAGTACTTATTCAAAGTAAGACAGTATTAAGACGTTAGATCGTAAAGTAAATCTATATCTACATACACCTATATGTTTCAGCTGAAACCGATACATGGTTCTGTAAAGTCTCTCTTAATTGTGAATTTTCTCATATTGTCTAAAAAGCATTGATGTAATCTTATTCAATAGAAACACAAAAGAGAAGATAAATCTACCAATATCATATTTGGCTTAGTTATTACTCTACGTGATTGGATGTACATTGATTTACTGTGTCCACCCTTGAATCATTGTTACGTTGAACGGGGAAGTAACAGTGTATTTCTCCTTTAATTGCTTGTATTTAGATTGAAACAGACTTTACAAAAATGTTGAATGAATCACGATCTGCTATGATTATTCCAGCTGCACGTATTTTGAAGCAAAAACCTAGTATTTGGTAAGTATTTTACTTGCATTTATTTGTTTAACGATATCATAACAACAAGTGATACCTGTTGTACAAGCGGTCACTTTTGTTTTACAGTGGCTTAGTGGGCAACACTTTGGCGTTTAAAGCGATAAGTACTGGGTTCGAGTCCCGATGAGGACAACACTCACTGTAGTCCAGATACATCCAGCTGACGAGTCCCAACTGGGACGAAGCGCGCGTACTGGACTTCCCTGCTAGTCATCAAGATGAATATAACATCATAAATACCCGACAGTATCTAGGCATCCGCATAGAAGCCCATCTACCAACAAAGGTTGAGCAGTTCGCCCCTATGTCGCAACGGGAAATTACAAGTATCATAACAACTTGCCTGAAAATATTTCAAATTATGAACTGCTAGCATTGTTTAAAGATAAGTTTGTTTTTTCGACTAAATTTAATGTTATTAGTGAACTCGGTGATCTCCAGTTTATTTTATATTTAGCGTCTTAAGCTGTAGATTTCATTTTCATTGGTATTCACTATCCATGATTCGAACCAACATCGCTTAGTTCTAGCGAATTTTCTACCAAATAGGTCAAGGATTCAAATCCCGCTCCACCTGACTTAGCCTGGGCAACTACAGAGCACCGTAAACTCGTGGATCTCTGACTCCATGGTTCAATTGCTCGCTTTTCAAACAGTAGGTCGGGTCATCGGTTCGGAGATCGCTGCGCCTACCAAGTTTTCTGTAACCAAGTAGTATCACTAGCCGTAACAGTACCTACTGCATAAACCTGGACCTAGCTGTTTAGTTACGTTAAGTGAAGAAATTAATAAAGCCTATCGAATAAATTGTATATCACAATCTTATTCACAAATATTTATCAGGTAAAACTGCGCTACCTTTATACTTTAAAGTGGTTGTAATTATGAGTATACTATAGCAGAATTCCGTAATAAGACGAAAAAGCTGAACAATATCACCTAGTCCACCAAATTATTTCTTTCTAATTCATTTCTATGCCTGGAAGTGACGACTGGGTAAGACTTCCATTGACTACTGAGGTAATGAAATGGTCACTTGATTAACAGATGAGTCCGATAATTCAGTCTATAAAACATCGAATTGGTTACCTGAAGGCTGTTGTTTCAGCTTATTCAATGACACAGGCTTCTTATCAAATCCAATCGCTAATGTAGTACAGAATTAAAATTCTCTTGATGAATGACAGCTATGAATGTAATTCTGATTAGTTTTATATTACTTTTTCTTTGAACTTACGTGTAGGGTGGAAATAAATCAAGCAGTAACTAAGTACAAACCAGTCAATTTGGGTCAGGTAATTCATACAAAGAAATTTCATCTTTAAATGTCACGTTTTTATATTCAATAAAGTTATATATACATTTCATTTTGTGTGAGCTTGACTTCTAATATGGTTTTACAATAGCGTTAAACTGAGAAGTCTGGTTTAGTAGAAAATAATTTTAAGTTGACGGTGAGCAGTTCCCCTAAGAAAAAGTTTACTATTGAGTACTAATATTGTTAGGACTGTTGGTAAGCAAGGTGAGTCAGTCGGAAAGGCATCTTGGGGGTACTATATCAACGACCTGGCAATGGTGATCGTCTGTTTCAATTTTGTTCTGACAACCATTTGTTTCTGGCCAGTACTAAATTCAAACATAAAGGGAGACACTGTCTCACGTGTAGTCTGTCGACTTCTAACCAACGATGGACACAGATGATATTGCCGTAAGCCATCGTTTGATAGGATCGGTGAATTGCCACTCCCTCTGAATTACAAGTTTGGACTTCGATCACGCGTTAGTGTGGGCTTGTGTATGTTTACGCGTTGCTGGCCGCAGAAAACAGTCGGGAGTGAAACCTATCTGTGCTTTACTAGAAAATAAGGACGCTAAGTACGTATTCGGGAAGCAGTTAGCTAAGCATTCATCTGAATGCGACAGAAACGCTCATCCTGAGGAAATCTGACGTTATATTGAGTCTTCGGTAGAAACAGCGATAAAGACATATAGTAACCTACACCCGAAGGTTAGCAATCGTCACACATTTCATCTGGCTCTGAACACAATGGAGAAGGAAAGGAACTTTGAATTCAGTTGAATAACAGTCTTCGCAATGATCGCGACCAGTGGTAGCTAGCGAAAGCAAGAGCGATGGGAAGGCATCAGCGTTGGATAACACTCGGCAACTATTTTAGCTCATTACGGATAATGGTAAGAAAAATACGATGGTGAGTAGAATCATCACCGAAAAGGATGGAACACTGATAACGTCCTAGGATAGGCGGCCAGAACGTTGGGCAGTCAACGTAGATATCGGATCTCCAACTCTCCTTGACATCAAGGAAGGCTGTATGGAACCTGAAACAATGGAAAGCAACAAGACCTGACAGTCTGCCATTCGAAGTTTTCATGGATGTAGGTGGAAACTTGGTAGTCGAAGTGACGGAGGTACTAGGTGGTAGTGTGTGTGAATCAGAGGTAGTGCCGCTAGATGGGTGTACGTCACTGGTCATCGCAGTGTATGAGGAGAAGGGTGAGAAGTCTTCGTGTGGCAACCGTGTAGGAATTATTTTGATTTCCATTGTGTTGGAGATCCTGTTGTCGATAGTTATCTGACGCGTAAGTGAGTGGAGCTGTAGGAGGAGGAGGAGACAGGAGCAAATCCGTCGAGTTTGAGACTTGATTGAGGATGCATGGACGATATTTCCACCCTCCGATATGTTGTGTAATACAGGGATGTGTGGCAGCGACCGATACTTGTTGAATTTGTTGACATGAAGGTGTAATTTGATTCTGTTGACCGTGAGGTGATGTGATTGACATTGTGTGACTGTGAAGGTAGTGAAGGGAGCAAGTGTATGGCGCTAATGAGTGCTGTCTACTGGAACTGATGCAGTGGTGTGTGTGTGTGTGTCAGTGTTTGTTGAGAGTTATTATGTGAATTGACGATAACTGGTACTGTTGTCTAAGGATTCTGACTGTCAGCCTTCTAATATAACTTCATTGTAGACCTAGTGATTGATATAGCCTTATGTGTGTGTGTGTGTGACTTTATATGGATTGAGGTAGTGTGGTTGACTTTGAGTATGTAGAGTATTTTGTAGTTGTGGGTGAACGTGATGACAGAATACATGTTCTTGTGAACACGTTGAGTAGAGATCTGAGTATGTTTGCGATGCGTCTCACACTTGTTAAGTGTAAAGTGATGCTGGAGAACTGGTCTGCAACTACTTTCAGTTTAATCATGGAGAGTGAAGTGGTGGTTCCTTAATTAATGTCAATCTATGCTTACTATTTGGCTAACAATAGGTCATAATGTATCTTTTTTTTCTCATGACTTCAAACATTAAGCATTATGCTACGATGATGATCAAGATATGTTAGATGTATGTTTATTTTTATGGTAATTACTCCTCAGCATCCAAAGTTGTTTTCAATTGCTATACCTATCTATAAATTCGTTGAGTTTCAATAACGTTTTGTTATTGAGTATTATGTTATTCCTGTTATGACGTTGTGACTGTGGCTTTATATAATACACTTTTATGTATACTTTTTATGGTATAGGGTTTTCCAGATATTTTACCAAAGAAACATGTTCTTGAAAGCGTAGGTATGCTTGGAATGCTTGAAGTGAATCCACTTCTGCATCAGTATACTAGATCCATGGTAAGTGAACATTGTGTTTTGGATTGTAGTGATTAAAAAAGAGTTAGTTTCTTCAGGTTGGTATTCATTATGGACTGACATTAAAAACCTAGGACAGAAGTAGGAAATATGGACCATTTAATTCCAACGCAATGGCCTAATAGCAACGTGCTGGCTGCGGCACCTAAAGGTCCTTGGTTAGATCCCTGGCGAGGTCGTGGCTGTGCACTGCTAAGGAGTCCCATACTAGGACGAAGCAGCTATCTAGCGCTTCCAGGTTTCCTATATTCCTCCAATTGATTTCAGTTCATGAGGAATAGCAACCTGAACTCAATAAAATCTTCACAACCCTCCAAGTTGCAAGTTTCTTATTGTTTTAATATTCTTTTAAACGTTTGTTGTTTTGATGAAAAACTGACTTCTTACTTCTACATACAAATCCAGTGGAAGGGAATCTACCAGTATATGCTAACAGAAGGACTCTGTTATAGATGGTATTTTATGGTTTATAACAGCCATACTATTGTTAAATGCTTGCAATTCAAGCAAAGGCATGTAGTGTTTATTTCAATGAACTTGTCAATGAAACTGACTGCCTGTGAATTTAAACAGTTTGGCGCAGTCACTGGGAATCATTCAACTTTATTTTCATAGTTATTAGTTTCATTGGCAGTATTTATTTAAATCTCATTTTAATTGCTTATCAACATTGGAGTCAAATGTGGTTGACTGCACTGGATCATGCAACAAACCGTGAGGAGCAAGAAGATGGGCCTACGCTATTTGACCGATGAAAATATCCTAGAAGATTTGGATTTCATCGATGATGATTTATGTCTAATGTCTTGTCGCACAAAGTCGAAGATCTACAGGCGAAAACCAACAAATTGGCAGAAGAGGTAGCGAAGGTGGGACTTCCTTCAAATGAACGTTGAGAAGATAGAGGTGATGAAGATACCCATCCAAACACAACAACGCCAACAACAAGCATCAACCACCATCAACTGAGGAAACTTAAAGGAAGTAGCGTCTCTCACCTATCTAGGTAGCATCGTTTCAACTATAGACTGGACGGATGAGGACGTTAAAGCCAGGATCGGAAAGACAGCAAGACTGGCCTTCCTGCATTATTCTGAAATCGGTATGGAGATGTACTGCATCCTACTAAGCATAAATCGTGAACAAGATCCGGATTCTAAGCACGGATGTCAGTCAAGTCAGTGCTTTCATGTAATAGTTGAGAGACTCGGCATGTCACGAAAAGCATTTCCAACAAACTGCAGACATACATCAACACCTGCCGCCTACGCCCACTCGATACTAAAGATCAGATGACCAGAAAGAACAAGGAACTTTGGCTGGCATCGAACCAACCAAAAACCTATCACACAACAGATGTGCAGAAGAAGAAAGTGGAGATGGATTGGATTGAATTGGACATAGACTGAAAAGACGGTTTGGGGATATCACGCTCCAGTCCATGCCCTCGAGTGGAACCCAAATAGGGAACGACGAGTTGGGTGTCCTAGCTGAAGGCGACATAGAGAAGATAGTGTAAGGAAGAAATGAAAACGTTGTTGAATATAAGTGTAAAACTTGGGCACTGTGGTAGAGTTTAATTTCATATTAGATTTGTTTATTTAATTTATAAGACACAGTGATCTAGTATTATTTACTTGATGACGTTTCGTGCATAAATTATTACTGCTCATAATCATATCAGTGTAATCACACTACTTTCGATATTTTATTTGTTTTTATTGGTAGTAGATATTTTCCATTTCTCTGATATAATAAGTGTTGCGTCATACTAGAGATATGGAAAATTTTACTACCAATAAAAACAAATCATATGAGGTGATATAACTATGAAAATCAATTGTCGAAAGTAGTATGATTACATTGAGATATGATTATGACCAGTAGTAATTTATGCTGGAAGCGCCATCAAGTAAATAATACTAGATCACTATGTGTTATAAATTAAATAAACAAATCTAGTATGGTATATCTTATTTTGTTCTGATTGTTTCTGATACATTTGATCTAAGATTATTTTACACTGGTGTTTCCTTTTGTTGTTTAGGGTCATCCACGTTTGGTCAATGTATTATCTAAGTTGTACACAAATTTCTTTCGATGTGATCGTGAACTCTATGCTCAATCCGGTAGTCTACAAGTTGATACTTTTCCACTAAATAAAGAAATTGATCCTTTAAAAGAGATCATAATCACGATAGGAGCTTATGGATCTCTTTATGCAGCTATTTCAGCATTGGTCAATCCTGATGATGAGGTTATAATTATGGAGCCAAGTTTTGATTGTTACACTCCAATGACAATAATGGCTGGTGGTGTACCTGTATATGTACCATTGCGACCGGTATGTAACATTATTTTATTGAGTTTAAAAAAAGTCAAATGATCAGGGTGAATAATTCTCCGAGCTTGGATTTTAGTTGGCAAACGTTTTAGTGTTATACCAGACACTGTCGTCAGTACACCATAGCTTTCTTGTAAAGTTCTGATATACTGATGATGATGTCTAGCATGACATTGAAATTTTTACCAACTGAAACACTAGTTTAGAGAAGACTACTCATTCTGGTCATCCAACACTCTGATCTGCAAATATTCACCACATTTTCTAAAGTCAAATGCGTTTGTATCATTATTATTTTAAATGGTTTACTGCTATTTTCAGTTTCTATATAGGGCCGAATTATTCTACCTTTGTTGGGAAATAGGCGGATACCTCGATACTGTCCAATATTCATGATATTATATTCATTTTGGTGACTAGCAGTGGAATCTATAACGCGCGTTTCTTCCTGTTTGGGACTCATCAACTAGTTGTACCTGCACCCCTATGAGTGATGTTGTTCCTATTGTGACTCAAACCCAGTACCCATCGCTCCAGATACCAATGTGTTATCCATTAGGGCACTGGGTCACGATAGTCATCTCTTGTCCAACGGGTATCAGTTGTTGTCTATTGATACTTGTAATACTTTTGTTGTATAGGAACAGGAAACCGCAAGTATAAAACCAACTATTGAGACTCGTTTCATAACAGGTGACTCTTATACCCCGTGGCGTTATGGATACTGCTTTGGCGCTTGAATCGAGGGGTACTGGATTTTAGTCTCGGTGGGAACAGCACTCACAGGGGTGCAGCCACATCGAGCCGAAGAGTCTCAAACAGAGCGAAAAGTGCGTCCTAGATTCCACTGCTAGTCACCAAGATGAAAGCGTTTCACTGTTGTCTTTGTGATATGTTTCATTTCGGTTTATCCAGATGTATTTTGTCTACTGAAAACCTGGGAGCACTGAATAACTGCTTCCTCCTAGTATGGGACTCGTTACCAGTAAGTACCCACGATCCCGCCACTTCTAGTGATAAGTCATGGACACTATGGTCAACCAGTTGAAATTAAAGTGAATGTCAGCTTAAGATTTTGGTGGTTAGTCATTCTATATCGCTAATTGCCTGAGGCTAGAAACTGGATCATTGAAATCCGACACAGTGGTTGAATGGTTAACGCATTCACTGTGAAACATGAATGTTCTCAAAGTGGTCCATGATTGAGTCGTGGGTATGTATTGATGAGAATTCCCGTACTTAGTGTTTTGTGAACATCTCACCGTCTCCAGACATGTGGCCTTCTCCAGTAGTTCCTACGAAGTAAATTACAAAGTGCCCTGCTCCAATTCAAAAATCCTTCGAGTCTATCAGCTATGCATGTCCGAATGACTGACAATTCACAACCTTAAACCTGATCTTTGTGATCAGAAAGATTGTGCGAACTCACTAACTTTACGACGACCAAAGTAGTAACTTTTTTCTGTCTTAAACAACTTTCTATCCTATTCTTGAACATGGTAGCAATTCTATTAATTGGGTTTACTACTTTATGTAGGAATTTTCCATTCGTTGAAGAATACTAAGGTTCAAATGTTCTCTAACAATCAGAATATTGTTTACTACTTGTGGTTTAAACGTTTATGGATACATTTGACGACAAAATTTCTAAACTTCTACTGTATTCAACAATAATTTCTCTGTAGTTATTATTTTCTTTTCAAATAATGTACATTGAACGTGATAAATCCAAAACATCTTGGTTGTATTGTGTTCTCTGACCTGGGTTGTTTAATCGTTAAGCTTTCATCGTCCTTCTAGATGACATCATCAACACTAACTTCAGTATGAAGTGAGCTGTGAATATCTCTCCGTGAGTGTTTTAGTAGCTTGCCTTGACGAAATGGTCTGTGATTGGTTGTTTCCTTTGATTGTTGTGTCATTGACTGTATAGATTTTCCTGTTGGCAGTCCCTCTACTTGACCTCTGACCTTCCTGTCGTTTATCATCTTTCTTATTGGTTGATAGATTGGGTCTATGTCTATATATCTATTGATTGCTGACTGACTGACCTGAATGCCACGCTTCCAGGAATTCTCTGATATTCTTTGTTTCCTATCTCCGTTCAAGATTTCTACATTGTCAAAATTGAATTCATGTCCATAATTATCCACATGCATTGAAATGAGTGATGAAATGTCATGTGTGACGTTTAACAGCCAATTGGTGTTCATGTAGACGAAGGCTAAGAGGGTGAACACTTTGTCCAATGCAGTGTTGACTACAGTGATTACATTTGATTTTGTAAATAATATTATGTTTGTCTTCTTTGGTTGTCGCATCCTTTGGTCTGCATAGTAGTGTTTGGAGGGAAGTTGTTGGTTTAGGAACCACATCAATTCCAAATGTTCTGAGTAATCTTGTCGTGATTTCAATATATTCTTTATGTACGATAGGATGATGCATTTATTGATTTCTGTCGATGACTTTGTAGTTGATGATGTACGCGATAGGCATCTTCTGATTAAGTTTCGTGGGTAGCTGTTCTTCTTTAGGATGGACATCAAGTAATTTTCTTCGTCTCTCCGTGAAGTTGTTGTACTGCAGTGTGTTCTCACTCTTCTGAATAGAGTCTGCACGCAACTGATCTTATGGGTTGTTGCTGCTGTAGTTGAGGTTTCGGTCAGTGTGTGTTGGTTTCCTGTACACTTGGGTTTCCAGCTTTCCGGTATTTGTTTCATTGAGTAGAACATCCAGGAATAGTAGATGGTATAGACATAGACCCAATCTATCGACCAATAAGAAAGATGATAAACGACAGGAAGGTCAGAGGTCAAGTAGAGGGACTGCCAACAGGAAAATCTATACAGTCAATGACACAACAATCAAAGGAAACAACCAATCACAGACCATTTCGTCAAGGCAAGCTACTAAAACACTCACGGAGAGATATTCACAGCTCACTTCATACTGAAGTTAGTGTTGATGATGTCATCTAGAAGGACGATGAAAGCTTAACGATTAAACAACCCAGGTCAGAGAACACAATACAACCAAGACCATCCACCTGAGCTACAAATATTCTCCACTATTTCAAAATGCAAAACATCTTTTTCCAATATTATTACTTTAGCCATCCGCAACGCTTCACCTACAGAGCATCCAGTCTGAACCTGAACGACACGTAGATATCGGATCTCCAACTCTCTTTGACATCAAGGAAGGCTGTATGGAACCTGAAACAATGGAAAGCAACAAGACCTGACAGTCTGCCATTCGAAGTTTTCATGGATGTAGGTGGAAACTTGGTAGTCGAAGTGACGGAGGTACTAGGTGGTAGTGTGTGTGAATCAGAGGTAGTGCCGCTAGATGGGTGTACGTCACTGGTCATCGCAGTGTATGAGGAGAAGGGTGAGAAGTCTTCGTGTGGCAACCGTGTAGGAATTATTTTGATTTCCATTGTGTTGGAGATCCTGTTGTCGATAGTTATCTGACGCGTAAGTGAGTGGAGCTGTAGGAGGAGGAGGAGGAGGAGGAGACAGGAGCAAATCCGTCGAGTTTGAGACTTGATTGAGGATGCATGGACGATATTTCCACCCTCCGATATGTTGTGTAATACAGGGATGTGTGGCAGCAACCGATACTTGTTGAATTTGTTGACATGAAGGTGTAATTTGATTCTGTTGACCGTGAGGCGATGTGATTGATATTGTGTGACTGTGAAGGTAGTGAAGGGAGCAAGTGTATGGCGCTAATGAGTGCTGTCTACTGGAACTGATGCAGTGGTGTGTGTGTGTGTGTCAGTGTTTGTTGAGAGTTATTATGTGAATTGACGATAACTGGTACTGTTGTCTAAGGATTCTGACTGTCAGCCTTCTAATATAACTTCATTGTAGACCTAGTGATTGATATAGCCTTATGTGTGTGTGTGTGTGACTTTATATGGATTGATGTAGTGTGGTTGACTTTGAGTATGTAGAGTATTTTGTAGTTGTGGGTGAACGTGATGACAGAATACATGTTCTTGTGAACACGTTAAGTACAGATTTGAGTATGTTTTACATGTCACGTAATATTTCCCGTGGCATATACACGAAGGATGGCCCATAACCTACTGAAATTTCATGCTCTATGTTTCTAAGTGGTTTTCCATTTGTATCCTTGTTAATTCACTGTTAGAAATCCAACGTTACATGATTTTTTCCATTGTTTGAAGCTCCCTACATCAGTTTATCAAGCAGTAACAGGTTGTTTTAATTGACTTTTTCTTTTCAAAACTTTACCATGAGACGGAATGTGTTACTTTTCACTCAGTTAGTATTTAGCCTAATTGTTTTTCGGATCCTAAATGTTTCAACAGAATAATTATATGCTAAACTTTGATAGTTTGAATAAGTAACCTTTTTTTCCCATCTTATTTTGTTTGTTTACACAGACAGTTGCTGATGGTGAAGAATTGACTAGTAACTGTTGGAAATTGAATATGAAAGAATTGGAATCTAAGATTACTCCTAGAACTAAACTATTACTCCTCAATACGCCACATAATCCTTTGGGCAAGGTAAATTTTTTGTCAGTTTATGAATCAGTTGGGGGAAATGATGAATGCTGCTGACTGTATATTTATCTTTTTTCTGTCTTAGCTATGGATAAGACTGTGTAATACAGTGTTTTTAATTAGAATCAACCAGCATTTATAGTACAATGGACTCTCTATTTCGGACTGGACAATTTTCGGTTTATACAAAAAATGTCTACAAACAAATCAGATTATTCACAATACTATTTGTATCAATATTCTTCGAAGGTTGCTTTTACAAAAGGACCGCTTTCAGCTACAGAGGACCAGCTATTCCCAAAGCATGCTGGGTATTTATCATATGCTTAAGTATGACTTATCAATAGTTCACATATTTTACCTGAATTGTAATTGATCCTCCGGTCTAGCATTTAGAGTTCACTTGTAACGAGAATGCTCTTTAGCTTCCAGTAGCTCTCTTGTTGATTTCCTTTAACCGTTAAACCAGTCATTTTTTCTATCAACAGTTGATCGATTAATTTTCATTCCATAGAAATTATTTACTTTCTAGCTAGACGTTTTGAATGTGAATGATTATCTTTTGTAAGTATTTGATGCAGCATGCTTCTCACCAGAACAAAGAGAAGATTTTAATGAACATATTTCCGAAGTTGTATATCTGTAAATGTATATCATTGGGAAAGACAGAATATTCAAGAGGAGTTTCCGATTAGTTATCAAAATACCTTTCAAGTTGGTCATTATCATGAACTGATATCATTTGGAGAATCGTTGAAAATCTGGGACTATTGGACGGCTGTTTTGCGCTAGTATACAACTCCCCAGAAGTGCACACCCTTGACCAAACCCAGAACTTTCAGGTTCCACGGTGTTGGAATCCAGTGATCCATATTTTCATAGTTCTGTCAATTTGCAAATTGCTGGACTATTAATGCTTCAGCCGTGAGCACATTCCTTATTCTTAGTGAAAGATATAGTACTACTGAACAACTTGAGTAGTTAGAAACCATTTAGGCAGACCAGAGCGATCTAACCAGTGGACAGCGGTTATTCAGTTGAAGTGTCTTTCGCCAGTTCGTGACACTTTTCTGTTAAAGGCCGCATACTGTGATCTCGGCTGACTGGTTTCCAGAGGACACCTAGTTGGTACCACAGTTGGGCAGTTGAAAATCTATTCAACCGTAAGCAATATCAGCGTGGAGCTTACAATTTGTAATTTATTTCCAAACTGATCAGCCTTATTCTTAGGTTGTACAATTTCTCTACTCTATATTGACTATGAGTGTCATTGTCTCTGACTGGATAGGTTCACAAAAATCTATGATAACAACAACTTAGTAGTAGACTACAAATGAATTAAATAACCAAGGCAACACTGTGAACAAGTGTATTCATATTATTACAGGACAACTGACTAAAATTAGTTCTTATGCTTATTTGTAATGTGTACGAGAGTTGAACGAATAATTCAAGTGGAGTTTCCAATTTAATCATGTTATTATCCTGAATCAAAAGGCTGACAGCTGTGAACAACCTTGAATTCGGTACAATCTGTTGTCTTAGCACCATTGAGAATCAAAGAGTATGCTGAACCCGTATTTTATTATATTTTACTAATCTCCCTTTGGATATCTGATCATTTATCAAACGACATGTATGCTTCGCTAGAGCCTGTTCTATTTTACCATAAGGCGCAGAGGCAAGATATAACGTGGTTTTCGGACTTTGATATCTTGGCAGCATTGCTGCCTTTTGGTGGAGTCATTGTGTGAGAGATGTTGAGGTTTGAGGAAGGGTACTAGGCAAGACATGCAAGTCGATTAATGTGGTTGCGAATCTTCATCGACTGAGATGGTTTGGACATGTACTGTGTATATCAACCCACTTATTACCTCGTTGTACCATGCTAGGAGACGCTGGATAAGGTTGTAGGAGGGTTCACTGTGACCAAGCTGAGACGTGTTATCAAATGATGAAGTTTTTGACCGTCGGTGTGTGCCGTATGTAGAGATGTAGACTACCTATTTGGAGTCCTCGAGACGAGAAAAATCAGTGATTGAAGAGTTTTGGTAAGATTGCTGGAACTGTTTGACTATGGCGCAGATGTATTCACTCTTTGATGTTTTCTAGTTCTTGAGTATATTTGCGCTAAGCTTTACCTTCAAATCACTTGTTCTCTCATGTAACTTTGTCTTGTTTGATATGAGTCTTCTTCGATTCACTTGTTCTTTTGATAATGTTATAAGTTGGATCAATTCACTTGTGTTCGAGATTCTACATTGATATTGTCTATATATATCCATTTGATAATTTTCTTTTTGTATTTTTATTTCAAGGTATTCAATAGAGAAGAGTTAGAATCTATTGCTGATATATGCATCTGTCATAATCTTGTATGCATTTCAGATGAAGTGTATGAATGGTTGGTATTCCCACCTAATCAACATATAAAAATTGGTAGGCTGTTTCATTACTTCATCATCTTCACCAATAATTTAGATTTGAATAATGTTTAAACGTGTTTAATTCATTCAAATTTGTTTTCCATTTTATAAATTTTTTTCTTTTCGTAATAAATCTTTTTGAAAGTGTCCTGTGAATGACTTGAAATAAAATGTGACGATCGCTCACGAGTCTGAATCCCTGTGGGAACAACATCACTCACTGAGGAGCAGGTATATCCAGCTGGCGAGTCTCAAGTAGGACGAAATGTGCATCCTAGATTCCACTGCTAGCCACAATCCATCATTAAAATATGATGATTGTTGGTAGTGATCATTTTACTCTTCATGGTTCAAATCTCATTTTATAATACCTTTATTATAGTCCCCCACCTCCATACAATAAGTGATAGATGCAGAGAATATTGACATTACTACCTGAAATTATTACGTAACAATCTGAATTACCGTATCATACATCAAACGAGAATGCACGAAGATGGAAAATAGAAAAAATACTTAAGATAGCAGTCTCTAGAAAGTTATAGATAGTAATGAAAAGAACAAGAAAAAGTGGGCAAATAACTCAATCCAGTATGAAAATTTATAACTTGACATTGACTCCGAGGCATGTCACCTGGAGTCTCCAACTATTGGTTTCAGTTGTCATATAGATGCCAACTGGGAAGACTTGACTTTCGTGCTCAGATCAGCTTTCGAAGACTCCGAAACCGAACCCACTTGTTGAAAGTCAACTCCATAAAACGATTAACTGCAATTCCACTTGGTAAGGTATTCTTTTTAAAAATGATCTATTCTGAGGCGGATCATATCTTTCTAGGATCTAATATCTTTACAACTGGAACAATTTATGAATTAATCTAGTTAGTCCTATAAAAATTGCCTACTACAATAACGTGTACACGGTCGCTGAGTGTTAATTTTGATGATGTTGTGTTCTGTAAGTTGGATACTTTAATCATTCTCCTAGAAGGGAGACATTTAGTGACAGTGGGATCTTCGGTTTGTGTATTTTTCGACTACCATGGAAACGTAGAACAATAGGTTCATTGAATTTTATTCACTGTTGGAAGACTCCAAATTTGCATAAAACATGGTTTATTCATCTAAACACATTTGTTACGGCATGGTCTTATTTTCAAGGTAATTCGCTCATTGTTCAATACTTGCTTTTGTCATGTTGATGTTCTAAATTCTAGACAAGGTTATGAATATATACATACGCGTTTTTGGGTTAATTAGCTATTCTTCTCGGAGGAATAAACTCTCCCATCCAGTCCAGTCTGGTCTATTTTGTTCGAGATTGGAGTTGATAGATCTTGTGTACAAATTTAGCTGTCAGTCAAGCGCATGTTTTATCCTCTCGGGAGCAACAATTCACCACTGGTCTTGTTTTGTGATTTATCTCTCTTTGACGATCTTTTTTAACGTCTTGCTGATGTGACAGTCAAACTTTTGATTTGGATTTGTCTCATTTGGTTTATATACATCTCAGTCTGTGGGCTTCTAACTCTTGTATTGATGTGTGTAAAAAGTATGTTACGGTCTATTTTGTATTATAGAAATCTACTCTCGAACGCTGTTAGATCACTGACTATTTCTGGAAACCGACTACCTACGTTCATACACTATTCCTCGTTGAGAACGTGTAGTTGTAAATTGCTACTCCACCCTTTTCTTCCTATCTTGACTCATATATTGAAATGTCTAAGATTTTGCTGAACCGAATATAATTTCCTAGAGAAAAAACCCCGTGATACGACACATATCTTAAGCATTTTCACCTCATTTAATATTAACTTTTACGAAGACGGAAATGAAGTTGTCTCTTCATTAAAAATATTCTGTTTTTATCCTTATTTGTGTATTTAATTCAGCCAATTGTTTATTCCTTATTTATTTACAGCCTCTTTACCTGGTATGTGGTCACGTACCTTGACTATTGGCAGTGCTGGTAAAACATTCAGTGTAACTGGTTGGAAATTAGGATGGACAGTTGGGCCAGCTAATCTAATTCAAGCAATGCAATTACATCAACAAAATACAGTGTATACATGCCCAACACCTTTACAAGTAATCCATATACATAGTCGTTAGTTTATTATTATTATTTGTCCCTTGAGTTCCTAGTGGAACATAGAGCTTCAGTAGCACGCCTCCATTGCACTCTGTTCTCTGCATTCTTTTGAACCTGGCTCCATGACTGCCCAGAAGCCCTCATTTCTTCCCCACACGATCTCCTTCATGTCACCCTTGGACCATTCCCATCTGGATTCCACTCGAGGGGCTGGCCTGGCGCGTGATGTCCCCAGTCGGCCTTCTCAGTGTTTGACCACTCCAATCCATCTCCACTTCCTTCTACATATTTGTTGAGCGATAGGTTCTTGGTTGGTTCGTTGCCAGAGTTCCTTGTTGCTTATTCTAACTATTCTGGCCATCTGATCTTCAGTAACGAGTCAGAGCAGGTAGTTGTTGATGAATGTCTGTAATTTGTTGGAAATGCCTTTCGTAACGCACTAGGTCTCTGAACCATATAGAAGTACTGACTTGACGTTTGTGTTGAAAATCAGGATCTTTTTCACGCTTTATACTGATTGCGTTGCAGTGCAGTAGATCACACTGGTTTCAGGCTGATGAACGCCTGTCTTGCTGTCTTTCCGATCCTGGCTGGCTTTGACGTCCTCGTTTGTGCCTGTGCCGCCACCTGTAGTTGAAACAGTACTGCCTAGATAGGTGAAAGAGGCTACTTCCTTAAGGTTTCTCCCGTTGATGGTGATTGGATCTTGTTGTTGGTTGGGTATCTTCATCACCTGTGTCTTCTCTATATTCACTTGAAGTCCCGTCTTCGCTGCCCTGCCTCATCTATCAACTTATTAGTTTTCGCCTGTAGATCTTCGAGTTTGTGCGACATAGGACATAAATCACCATCGGCGTAATCCAAATCTTCTAGGATCTTTCGCCGGTCTAGAGTGTCCCCCTCTTCTCGCTTCTCACGGTTTGCTGCATGACCCAGTCCGCCACAATCAGGAATATCATGGGTGATAATAGATAACCTTGTTTTACTCCTGTCTTCACTTCGCTTCACAGGCATCACTGAGCTCATTGTGAATCACTTGGCATGTGGCGTCTTCATATAGTTGTTGAATGAGGTTGATAAGCTCGTTAGTGTATGGTTTATGTATTACCTATTTCACTTTCAGTGAAAAAATTACACCATTACTGTCTCTACTTTAAAGAACATATTGATTATTTACTGCACTTTCGACACCATCTTATTTTATGAAATCGGGAGCAACTGTAATGCATTCACAAACTTAAAAGCCATTTAGTATTAACATTGAATAGGACAAAGTGGAACTAAATAAAGAGGTTATAGACCTGTATCTGATTATGGTGATTCGAAGAGAAGTATTCCTCTTGTCAATGCTAAATATTTTAAGGTAATTGGTTAGAAACCTTTCATTTAGTTTTCTTCATCAGTGTGACTTATCAGGCAGAAGCATCTACAATCTTGACAGGATTACTGTTTAAACAAGTATTCTAAATCACGTCGTCCAGTATCGTAGTCGGGAAATGACTGCGAAGTTTTTTTCACTGCAGGTAACATTCTCTACAAGTGGATTGGATGATACAAAATGTCTCTTTCGCGTTAATTGACTTACGCTACCTCTGGTTTTGGCACAATGTCCATCTGCAGATCAGCAGTTCATTCTGACTTCCTTCATGACTGCTGGTTGAAGACTCTGACAAAATGCAGAATCTTCTGAACATGTTAAGCAGAAACTTGAGTTTGTTTGACATTCTTATCGCACCTGACAAATGTAAGCTGATGCTTCAGGTCTGGTCCCAGTTTATTGATCGGGAGTAGTCTCGGAATATGTCAATAACCTTAATTACTTGGGTAGTTGCATCAGCCCATCGAACGTGCAGGTTGCTGATAAAATCTCAGCTTGGATACAGGAGGCCCACTCGGCACTTATCAAATTGCTTCATCTATGACATCGACTGGTGAAATATTCGACTATCTTTAAAAAGGATAAGCATGCTGTGCTGCATTCCGTTATGTCCTGTTATATGACTTAGATATAGCTGTTAAAAGTAGAAGGCATGAGGCAGTTACATAGATGTCTTGGTAGCAATGCTGACATTCTGTGGAATCACCGTGTAAACAATGTTGAGGTTTTGGGAGGGGTACTAGGCAAGACAGGCAAGGGGATCGATATGGTTGTGAATCTTCATCGTCTAAGGTCACTTGGAATTGTACTGGACATGCTGTTCCACCTTCTTCTCGACGTGCCGTGGTGGGGGCTGTTGGACTAAGTTGGAGGTGGGTTAAATGTAGTCACACACAGACGCGGTACTAATAGTTAAAGTACCTGAGTGTCGGTGTGAACCGTGTGTGGAGATGTAGACTAGCTGTTTGAGGTCTGCAAGACGAAAGGAACCAGTGGTTGAGAAGTTTTGGTGACATTGTTGGAACTGTTTGACAATGGAGCAGATGTATTCACCTTTGGTGTTTTCTAGTGCTTGAGTATTTGCCCCAAGCTTTACCTTCAAATCACTTGTTCTCTCATGTAACTTTGTCTTGTTTGATATCAGTCTTCTTCAGTCCTATTTTTCCTTGGATGGCGTTGTGAAGTGTGATTAGTTGAACTGATGCACTTGTTTGCGAGATTCTACGTTGATTTTGTCTATCTGCCATAAAATAGTGGGGGAGGGAGGTAATTTACTACATCTGAGTATACTCAACAAATGCCCTAGTCACTACCTACCTGGGCAACTGAAATTTGAATAGTTCAGAAGAATTCTTAGGCTGGCCAGATGAAAATGTTGCACTAGTTCATGAGGTCTGACTGTAAGTTTTAACTATTCATGGAGGTGTTACTTGTGTGACTAGAGTCTTCGAGATGTTAGTAGTTACAGACTCATGGCTGTATGGTTTCAGGTTGGCCAATAGAGTGGATATGTTTATATTGTTATGATACTTACCAACAAACTTTATTTATTTATCTCCCCCCTCCATCTCTCATACACGTTTGTCGATTTAAGTATGAAGTTCTTTTTCGGTTCACTCCCTTTTTCTGTGTTTTTATGAAACACGGAAACTGGAACTGTTTTACTTCTGCGTTGATATGCATATTTACTTATCTGCTTAACTAACACGTTGCAGTACTCGATGGTGCGAATTCGGAACTCTTTAGCAATAAAAGTTGCGGACAAGCACAACAACTTAGGTTCGTGATTACCTATCGAGCACCTTCAACTACATAAACTTCTAGTTAATGCTAATTTTCAGCGAAGAATATATTCGAGAATGATTTTCATGCACAAACAGGTTTGTTATTTTGCCAAAAATTAATGCATCAAAGATGGAAAAATTAGGAAATAATTATGCTTAAATATTTTAGAGGGATAAATACTCTCTGTTTTGATATGAGTGGAACTATAATTCATTGGGTCATGGACTCCAACCGCGCTCCACCTACTGAGGTTTAGGTAGTTGGGTAGTATCACTAGCCTACTACATGGATTTACACAAAGTAGCTGATTTCGTTTCGTTTATTTTCGCTTGGAAATGATTATGATATCACTCATTGAACAGGCTTATTCTGATAATTCAAGTGTCCATTCATTCCTGCTACTAAAAAATGAAGTTGCTTTTTAGGTGATTTCTTACTAAAATGAATAATGCCTGATAGTAATTGAATATGTAGAACATATTTTATATTATCAGATGTAGTATGTATGAGTATCGTTTCCATATCAGTAAAATTTTCACTGTTGCAAATCAGTAATATATCAACTCATCTAATCGTTCGCCTATGCTTAAAAAACATCCTGATTTTTTAAAAAAAAATTTGAAATGGTTAGTTTGATGTCGAATTCAGCAATTATTTTTTTAGTGAGTAGCAGTAGTGACCAGAATTTACTTTTGAATTTGGAAGTTTGTGGGGATTTAGTGACTTTTCAAGTTAGTATTCATCATGGACAGGGTCACTGAGGAGTTCCCATACTAGGACGAAACAGCTGTCTAGTACTCCCAGGTTACCAATATTCCTCCAACTGATGTCGATTCATGATGAATACCACCTTGAAAAATCAATAAATCTCCATAACCCCCGAAATTACAGTGATCTAGCACTCATTGGTGGGTAGCTTCGAGAGGTGATTCCTGAAGTTTGAATAAGAAGTCGTGACCGGTGCGTCAAACCTGATGGCCGTGAGGACAAATACTCAACAATGACATTGAGTGATGGTCGCGCCATGTCATGAACTGACAGAAATTGGAAATATGGATCATTTGATTCCGACCTGGAAGTCTTGAGTTTGATCCCTGGATTGCAGGGTCATGGTTACGCACTGCTGAGGAGCCCCATGCTTGGAAGGGGAAGTTATCTAGTGCTCTCAGACTTCCAATGTTCTTCCAACTGATGCCAGTCCATGGTGAATACCAACTTGAAGAATTTTCTTTGTCTTTATTAGAAATAATAAATGACTAACCAGATAACAATGCGTCATTTGGTCATATGCATGCGTGTTTCAGAAGCATAAATTTTAACTGAATTTTCTTTCTAATTTATGTCAAAATATGTTTCAACTACTGGGCTAGCTCGTAAGATATGCAACCAGAATACTTAGAATGATCAACCTAAGAAAAAACATTTTGAAGGTCAAGGGTGAATTTTTAATTTTTGCATTGACAATTACTAGAAGTAGGATAATTTCAGTGGTTAATGCGTTATGGATTTTAAGGGATTATCTCGTTGATGACTCAATGTCAGTCGGTCATTATCAACATGGGACGTGGTATTACTGCATAACAGTTCAAGTTGCCACACGCTATTTCAAGGAATCAAGCGAAAAGGCACCAAGAGAAATAAGGAAAGAAATTAGTAAAAAGCGGTAGAAGGTTGTGAAAAGAGGATACGAAACATAGTTTATGTAAGAAGGGCAACGGTGATTGAACGCCTGAAGCTTTCTTGTGTCCTTTACATTTAGTGACCATGTTTGATATCCTGGTAGTTTAACAGAACGAACCGTAGCTTAGTACATTCAGCTTTTAATAGACAGCAAGATATCACAGTGGTGTGAGTTGGCGAAGGCCGATGGATCCTGTTATATCCATGCAGATATTTCATCGGTCACCGACCCAGCAGTTATGACCTGAGGTCTTAAGTGAGAGAAGTGGCCTACACGTTCACCTACTTCACCAATTGAGACGGAATGCCATTTATTTCCGTTATTTAATGTCTATTATCATATTGAAGTAATCGGGTGACTCCAAGATTCAGTTTTTTAGAAATAAAACTGTGTTCATTGCAGTGTTTCATTTATCCATAGTGATAGATTTTTGCTTCTGTATTGTAAAACATTAAGATTTGTTTATTCACCTTCTATGTATAAATGTCAACAGTTAAACAATAGTTAATCAGTGTTCCTCAACAACTACGTGAATATCTCTATAATAGTCAATAAGCCTCATCTGTTGTGTTAGGGCGTATGATGTCATCGAGCTGCACAGACTTCGATGGTTGGGATAGTGCTTGAACTGTTGAAGTCGATCATCTAGATCAGTGAATCATGTTTTCTTATTTTTTTCAACAATATAAAAAAGCGGAACCTCATAACTGCATCTAGGTCGTTCGGGTAAAGTCTTTGCTGAGATGTTCGTGTGAGAACTAGTAACATTATTCTTTTGAGTAAGTGTATTACCCTGTTGAAGGCTCTGTACTCGAACACCCACGGGTGTTTTCGAGTGTATGTTGAGTTGTCAGATGAATTGTACACGTCGAGTGGTGTACCCTAGGGATGCTTTCTCTCTTCATTCTTATTCAACTTAGTCATAGACGTACCTATGGAGATCTGTCTCTTTTCGCCTGACTTCACGAGGAAAGATCTTATCGTGGAAGAATCCTTGGTAGATCTAGAGTACACAGATGACATATTCCTGTTTGATGAAGATGTTGAAAAGATGCAGAGTCTTTTGGATAAGCTGAGTGGCAGTTCGAGAGTGTTTGCGTTGCTGTTTTCACCTCCCGCACACAAACTGTTGCCCCAAACTGGTTTTCAGCTGTGTCCCGGCTGACAATCAAGAGTAAAGAGATCGAGTGCGTTGAACATTTCACTTACCTAGAAATCGGGATCAGTGACTGATGAAATGTCTGCACGGTGTCTGAAAAAGGCTCGCTTGCTTTTCGTCAACTTTCGCCAACTTATGCCATCTGTTATGCCACTGTGATATCCGACTGTCGAGTGTACTGTACTGCAATCAGCTGTTTTAACCTATGGCTGTGAAAAATGACCATTAAAGGTAGAGGAAATGAGAAGGCCTTCGGTATATTGACCACCATTACACAGGCTGTGTCGTGGTGTCACTCTGTGAATAACGTAGAAACCGCCTATCTCACCGCACAATTTTAGCTGAAGTAGACAGGCTGGAAAGAGGTCAGGAGGAGCCAGATTAATGGGTGATATCAGTCCATAAAGTTTTTGACTGTCATTCTGAGCTGTGTATTGAAATGCATTCTTCCTGGTTGGAGTCTGTTGCTCAGATGTATCCCACATTATTCTCATTATAATCGTCATACCAGATTCAGTATTTTCCCATTTCTCCTTTCTCTCTTTTACTACTCCCTTCTGCTTTTGATTGATCTCTCTTTATTCCTTTATTTTTCATCTCATTACATTCTCGCTTTTTGCTCCGATATAAGGTGTGGCATCTTGAACCGTTTTGTTAGTAATGCCTGTCCTATGTTGATGTTGAAGATAACGATGACATCAATCTTCTGATTGGATTGACACTACGTCTTATCCCTTAATATTGTTGCATTATCAAATAGGTAAGTGAACTCAACACAGCTGTATGAATCGCTAATTTTGTTTTCTGTTTTGCTCTTATTACCTTTCAAATTATTACCTGTCAAATTATGAAATTGTTGGATAAATCTGCTCACCAAAGCCGTTAGTTTGCTCATAGATTTCAGTGTTTACGCATTTAGTTTTACCTTGTTAAATCAATAGGTAGTTGAAAAAATCTTCATGAAGTCGGTTTATTTAATTGTCCTGAAATATGTACATCTACAGTCATCGAAATTTCTTGTTTCATCTTCTTGCTACTGTTTTGTATTTTGTTTTTACACTGTAAGCCTTCTAAGCAGGCTGTTCAGTTTCAGCGTTTTTGTACCATAACCAATATATTCACTTGATAGTTTATTTGGGGGCAATCAGCAGAATATCCTGCTAAACTTAGGTTTCATGATTGTTGGCATTCGTCTGCGACCTAAAGGGGACCGATGTCCCCTATGAGATTCGAACGAACCTGCATCGCCTAGTAATACAGTCAGAAACGTTACCGTTGAATTATTCGATTTGCAATTTATCTCCTGTAAGACTGATTTAGACGCATTGAACAATCAGTTTAGGCAACTAACAGATATCCTCGTAGTTCGGCGACCACATTGCAAAATGGTCGAGACGATTCAGCCAGCACTAAGAACTAGGGAGGATAGGATTGGTTGTTCCCCTGTAACCAATCAGTGAATATCTTCACTTCGGTTACACCATTTACACCTCTTGACCTAACATTGCATAGATCAGTAAGTCTTTATCTAATTGTTTATCCCTCACTGTCTAGTTTCTTCTCATGCGGAAACTCTATTGAAAACTGAATTTTTTTTTGACGATTGATGAAGTTATCCTTTTTTCACCGAGTAAACGCAAGATGCATACGTAATATCTGTTAATTACGTAATCTTTTGCTGATTTCCTAGTGTTTTTTTAAAAGTTGATTCGGTTTAAAGGTCCAATTAATTTAACAATACCAGTTAAGGTTTGTGTATCATGAGCCCAGTAAAATTCCCGCATTGAAACTCAAGTGGTTAGCATATTTTCCTTTCTTTTTTTTGATCTAGGAGGCTGTAGCACGAAGTTTAGAAATTGAATTACCGCTATTACACAAACCTGACTCATATTTTCATGAAATGTGTTCAGTTATTGAGCCAAAAGGTCGTAATATGGTGAAGCAGTTAAATGAAATTGGCATGATTGCAGTAAGGCCAACTGGGGGATATTTCTTGATAGCAGATATTTCTAAAATGAGTGAGTTATGCCGTATACTATTAGAATTTTTCAACTGCTTTAATGTTTTTGTTTTATGCATTATTTTGCTTGATATCATTATGATCGTAAGCGAGTAATAGTGTAGTTCACTTAGTGGCTAGCGGCAAAATCCAAGACGAATATCCAATGATGTCATTGGATGATGACCACAGTATATCGCGAACTGAACTGTATGTTCACAACTCACAATGCTTCATAAGACTGAAGTAACTGATTTCATACCTAGAAAATCAAATGACTGACTGACAAAATCAACGTAGAACCTCGCACATGGGTGCATCGGCTCCAGTTGACACACATGAAACAGGTGGATAGAAACATAGTGATATCAAAGTGCATAAAGTAGTATGAGAGAATAAAAAAATCTAAGGATAAAGCTTAGTGCGAATATTCAAGCTGTAGATGTCAATGAGTAAATACATCTGTGTCATTGTGACCGATTTTTAGCTATGACTCCAAGAATCCATAACCACTGATTCCTTTTGTCTCGTGGATCTAGTCAGGCAATCAACCTTTCCCCACACAACTCAGACTACCAGTTAGGGTCTTCATCGGCTGGTACAACATCTCAGCCTGGTCACCCTGAACCCCTTTTCCAACCTAATCCATTTCGCGACAATGATTCGTGCGGAAACCAGCTCTTGAACTGAACGATACAGTAAAACCATAAAAAAGTCTTAAATAGGGCTTCTTTTTAAGTAAATAAAGTAATATCACCAATCATATTTAATTCAGACCTTTCCCTTCGGTCGACTTAACACTTGACACAGTAGTAGATTGTCACTCGTCTGATTTAGTGGTTGTTAGGTGGTCCTAATGGTAAGTTGCCTTGTCATTTCTGTGAAGTTACAGTATTCTGGTGTGTAGGCTTTCTATCAACAAACAGTGAGTTTAAATCCTGTCTGATCTAACGAGGTTTTAGTAACTAGGGGTAGTATTTTCAGCTCACTCATTGTCTAATCCATGAATATGAATGCAAAACTCCAAGTTTCTTCTGATTTATTGATCTCTGTTATTTCACTTCTTTCCAGATGTTCCATTGGATGAATTAGAGGAGAATGAATTACTACCGTATGATGTCAGGTTCAATAATTGGATGATGCAGAAGAAAGTTAGTGTGTAAATGTATTATGATGTCCGTATTTATGACTTTCTTTGTAATATTTATTGATATGCGTACTATAGGTTGATAAGACAACTTTTATACGGGAGATCCGATCATGATTTCAATTAAAACGGAGATGGTTGGTGTTTTTTTAATGAATAACAGACGTGTGAACGCAGTCAAATGTCTAAATTTGCCGTCAAAGGATTACCGTGTAAAGGCTTTACTAAGCTGTAATTATTGCTCAATGTTCTGCTTTGCGAGAGACTGACGCAAGACACCAGTGACGAATCAGTGTATGCATTCCAGTCAAACATGAGGTCAGTGGCGGCCCGTATACCTCAGCATTAGCGTCGTTGGCTGCCACATTGGATAACGTGGGTTCGAATCTCACATGGGACATCAGTTCCTTTGAGGTTACAGATGAGCCTTGCTGACGAATGCCAAAAGGCATGAAACCTAAGTGTAGAGCTTCCTGCTGATTGTCTCCAACCAAATATTATCCATCAAAACGCAGCGCGATGGGGAGTAGCCTAACTTGGCGGTAGTCGCATTTCAAAATGGTTGATAGAATTCGGTCATCACACGAGACTAGAAAACATGAAAATGGTTGTTCCTCCAGTGACCATTCAGTGTAAACCTGGATTAATTGATTTAAAAATTTTAATTTCGGGTCTTGGAATATGTCTTACTTTGAAGTGTTTCTGCCTTGAAATCTAACGAAATGTTAAGTGTACTGTCAAACATGGAATTTGAAAGTGTTTTTTTCTCTTTTTGGAACTGTGGTGACATTACTGCATTGTAATATTAATATCTGAATTTACAATAATCTGTCACTGGGGTGTAACCAACTTCATGTTGTCTAGTCCTAAGTACTTATCGGATTCTGTCGGTCATTTTGCATTGTGGCCAGCAGACTAGGGAGCTCAACATCGCTGTGCACTTTAATAGACGCTGGTTGGATGGAAGCAGTAGGCATGAACCTATGAATTAGGTTTCGTGCTTTTTGGCACTCGTCATCAAGGTATATTTCCAACCTCAAGGGAATTGATATCTTGCCCGAGATTTGAACCTGCATCACCCAGTCTGGTGGTCACTTCGCAGAGATCAATAGAATTCAATCAACACTTCGGACTAGACAACATGAAGTTGGTTACCCTCCAGGGACTAATCAATGTATCTAATCCAGTCCTATTTGAGGTCAGTCGTGGTATGAGTAGCTCAGGTGTAACGTGTCTGACTGCAGTACTGAGTGATGTGCGTTTGAATCTCAGGCTTGATATTGATTTCATGGAGGTTGCAGATACGCCTTGCTGACGAGTGACGAAAAGTCCGCAATCTAGATGCGGGGCTTCCTACCGATCGCCTCTATCCAACAAATATCTGAATGTATCTAAGGCAGATACATTGTTTTCCTCTTCTTTAGGTCTATTATAGTTATATCTGTTTCGGCCATGTTTTTAGCGCCAACGTCAGTGTTTCATGAATACGTTGAATATATGATAAATGATAAAACTTACCGACTAGCAAACAGAACTCTTTTCGAAACGTCTCATACCTCTTTTTTATGTATATAGTAGTTCGAAAATATAACGAAAATATCATCAAGGGTCAAAGGTCAGTTAGTTATAAACAGATGATCAATTTGCAAATGATTTAGGTTTGTCGGTTCATTCAAGTCAGCTAATCAAATTTATGTGATCTGAACTTATTCGACTTTCTGAGCTGAATTTGTTCAGGTGCATTGCTGATACCCTTGACCTCAGACGTGTAAAATGACAGTCTGGTGTTCAAATTACTCTGATCTGGCTGGCAAAGTACTACAGATCATTATGAGCGGTTTTTTTCTACTCAAGTTGTTCAGTGGTAGTACTTCTTAGTAGTAACAAATCGCATTGAATTGTAAATGAGAAGACAAAGATAGTTTGCTGTAGGAGAGTTAGGAGAATAATCTTACGTAACCAAAAATATGCAGACATTAAGTAATCAAAGTGGGAAGGACTCGAACTTATAAAACGTTGTGGTAACAAATGGAATGGAGATGGATTAAATAGGTGGTTATGGAAGTAGGAATCATCTTAGCAGAAAGGACTGAACTAAACGCTTATATATATAAAGTTAAGGGTTGTCCCAATGACTAATGAGATTGCACTGTACCCAGAGAAAATAATCAAAATCTTTTTGAATGATTTGGCTTCACTTGGGGCAGCATATCGAATTGATTTTGTGTAGATACTGTGTAACCTTATAGAATAGTGAACTCGAAAATAGAACTGTTTATTGATCTGGGATCTCTTTTCGGCAGTTATCCTGGTAAATGTCCATAAGAACGTCTTGATAATGTTTTGCTCAACTCTAGTTCAGCGTTTTAAAAAAAATTTTCTGCGTATTTTTTGTTACGCACAATTGACTTGATAACTCTGTTAGTTTAATATTGTTATCTTTCGATTCATAGTTCAATATGCTTTGTGACTAACTGAAATTAACCTTTGACCCTTGTTGAGATTCTTTTTAATAGTAGGTGATGATTGAAGGTGAAATGAAATTTTTGACTGTAGCAGGATTCGAACTCGCGACTGTTGGATTTCCAGATTGATGCTCTACAATATGAGCATCGAGACCCGACTGTTGATCAGATTTTCGTATTTCACTTCAATCATCAAGGGCTTTTTGTCCGGCTCCTATGTGAATTCGTAGCGTGTGTTACTATAGTTTGATCGTACTCATAGTCAGGATCTCATTGATTTGAATCCTACGGCAGCCCAAATTTCTATTTCACCTTCAATCATCACCCAAATTTAATGCCAGTCTGCCAAATCAAGGCTATTCAAGATAGTCAAACTAATATTCAAACTATTACATACAGTCAGAATAAAAAAAATCACAAAAAAAGTTTTCTTTACTGACCAGTTTCTTCTTGATTGAGACGATGAGTTATTATGGGTCAGTTGAAATGTTCGTTTTAATATTTTACCTCTGACTAGTTTTGTAGATTGATAATTTTCCTGGACAAGTCTTCCAGATACGTTTAACTAGCTACAACTAGCTAATTTCCTTTCGCTTCTTACTTTTCCAGTAAGTGTTACTCTTGAATAACTTGCTCTTGTTGTTCTGTGTAGCCTCAGTTTTGATTCTCCAACTGTCTAGTAGAACGCCGTAAAATTTTAAAGATGTGAAAATCCATGTACATGAACCATTATTGTATCGAAGTCGAAACTTTTTCTAAGAAGAGCGAATCCCTTCACTAACTATGGCTTTTCTGTATGTTGTTGACCTATCGCTTGGTTGGTATTTCTACGTACTGGTCAATCATACCTTAACATGTAGGAAGAAAAATTGGAGCTGAGGGCTTTAGTCCTGAGTTGTTTGTGCGTGAATTGATTTATTTCTGAGTTGCATCCTTGGTGCTGGTGAGATATTCGACTAGTTATTACTAAAAGATGCGTATACTGCACTGCAGTTCGCTTTGCTTCAATATACGGATGTGAGACAGGATTCCTTAGAGCAGAATATATAAAACGAGTACAGGCTTTGATGACGGGTGCTTTCATAGTGTTTGCTCACGTGTATTGAAATCACAATGTGAGCAATATGGAGGTTAAGTAGGTGAAGGGTACTAGGCAATACATGCAACTTACTTGATTGGGTAGTAAACTCTTGCTGACTTAGGTAGGCGGGAAATATATTGACCATTTCAATCCACCTCCTTCCTTTACGTACGTACGTTCGTTCAAGTTGGACTGAGTTTGAAGAAGGATTAGGGTGGTCAGAGCGAAATACAGCACTAACGGATGAAGTATGTGACTACTGCTCTGAGTTGTGTAGGCGGGTGTAAACTATTTGACTGCAGTCATTAAAATGATTGAAATCAATGACTGGTGACCATTGCTGTTACAGCTGTGAGGTGGATGTGTATAGTCTTTATCGTTTCCAAACTTTTGAACATCACCTTCATCTATTATATAATTGTTTTTATATCCACTGCTGGCCACTATCCATCATTACTATCATAAGAGCACAGGTAATATCGAGGCATCCGCACAGGATCCCATATGCCAATAGTGACCGATCAATTCGGTCCAGTCAACGACGGTATGATATAAAAATAATTATATACTAAAAACTATGCCCGTCGCACAAGAAGTGGCTATCGTGGCTCGGTGGTGTGGTGGAGAACGCTCTGGTGTTTGAAGCGATCACTGCCAAGTTCGAATACCGGTGGGAACAACATCACTCACTGGAAGCAAGTACATCCAGCTGACAAGTCCCAAATAGGACGAAATGTGCCTCCTGGATTCCACTGCTAGCCACTTTCCATCATTATCTTCATCTATTTATCAGTTCCCCTTATACACATTACACATTAGTCTTCTTGAGGTAGCACACTGTGATTCAGTATTATTTACTAGATGATGTTGCTCATATTCATATCAGTGCAGTCGCACAACTCCCTATCTTGGTTCTTTACATTACTAGTGCTTCTCATTGTTTGGTTTGTTTGATAGTAGGATTTTCCTTTTATATCTAGAATTGGTATTGAATCATTCCAGTTGCATGTGTTAGGAGTTTCATCGAAGAACAGAGATTCAGTGACCAACCTCAGTCTTTATTTCAATGTATTGGTCTTTCGGAATGTTACTTTCTACCATCTTGTTATGTGGTTGTGTGTTATCGAGTACGTAACTGTCACTGAATTCTTCTTTTGGGTACTCCTCTTAGTAGGGTCTATAGATTTAGACTTGACTGGGTTCCTATTTTCTGCTAACCTGACTGAATTCGATCGACTAGTCTAACCTATATGCTTACCGGACAGTGCAGAGTGTTTGGTAAGTAGAATTATTTTGTCCGATGTGATCAACCGAATCGCTAAGCGGAGAATGTTGGTCTTACTCAGAGACTTTTAACCGTTAATACTAATTAATCCATTTGTGATTTGTTCCATGGTATACCGGTTCCTGGGATAGGCAACCTTTAATGTAGGCGTAAAAGCTCAACTCAAACCTTAAGATGTTGTACTCAACCTAGAAGTGGCATTGAGCTCAATAGATAAAACAACTATTGATCAGGTATGTGCAAAATATACACTGGCACTGAAACACCAAAAGAAAGTGAGGAAGAATTTAAGAGGAACAGAAATGTTGATTCTTAGGAATTTAAGAAATGATATTAATATAGTAACTGCCAAATCTGACGAAGACAACTTGATAGTAGTTATGGATAAGACGGGTTACTTAGAAAACGTCAGTGAGGATATGGAAACATGATCATATGAAGAAATTATAAACCTATCGACAGTTGTAAATCAGATTGAGAGGTGCACAGCTGATCTGATACACCGAATGAGTCTCAGTGGTTTTATTTAATGCTTAAAAATAATAATCCTAGTAGAATGTATAGTGCCATTAAGGTTTATAAAACAGATAATCCTATTAGGCCACTAGTTGACTTTAGAAACACATGAACATATGAATTATCTAAATATTTAGCTACAGTACTATGTCCTGTTAGAAATTGGCTGAAATCTAGGCTTACTGTGATGCACTTGAATTGAAACCCAGACTATGTAATCTACAGTCGAAGGAAGGAGAAGAGATGGTCAGTCTTGATATGACGAACCTCCATGGAGATATACCAATTGATACGGCATTTGAGGTAGTCAGACATGAAGTCACCACTGACCATGAACTCATTAATGAACTAAAGTTTCTATTGAAGAAATTATGCTAGAGACAAGATTGTTTTTAACTTCCGTGGTTTTCAAATTTCAAGTCCAAATATATCAACGAACCGAAAGAGTAGCGATGGGATCTCCAATATCCCTGATCGTAGCAGACATATTTATGCACTTTCGGGTACAAATGAAATTGAGAACATTCCAACCCACCCCAAAAGTTTTAGTGGCGATAAGTAGACTATACTTTAACTCGATAGTAAATGCAGTCCAATTCACTTACCAATTCGAAAATCCTGAAGGAGAATTGAGTATATTAGACTGAAATATCATGAGGAGAGAAGATGGAAGTTTGAATGCCAGCGTTTATAGGAAGGCAACACATTTGAATAGATACCTAAATTCTACACCATATCATTGCACTATATTTGTCAAGGTAGGCTTGATAAAATGTCTCAGTAATTGGGCCAGGAGTTTGACCAGTTAGTCAGAAAACCTGAATAAGGAACTGAAACACATCAAATATTCACTGTGTCTTACGAACTGCCCTCCAGAATTCATTAAAAGGTTTATTAGGACTGATAAGAGGAGTGGTAATGTTAGTGATGTTTGTAACAGACCTAAAAAAGAACTCAAATCATCTGTAGTGTTTGCGTATAAAGAAAGCATATGGGAGATTTTACGTAGAATTGCTAACAAGGCTAGGATTAGGGTGTCATTTAAACTCACAAGTTCGCTCAGAGAAAAACTTTGTAGGCTAAAACATCCAGTAGAGCCTTTTAAGAAAAACAACCTAATCTATAAAATATCCTGTAATGATTGTGAGATCAAGTATATAGGTTAAAGTAGCAGATCGGTGTCAATCAGAATAGTAGAGCACACAAATGTAGCAAAATGTAAATGTGCAATGGTAGACCCTGCTGAAATAATTCATTTCAAGCAAAACTTGGCTATCGCTCTGCATGCACTGACCCATAATTACACTAACTATGGGGTGGGATAACGCTACAATTCTAAAATCCAATATAGCTAACTGAAGAGAGAGATTGGTCACAAAGTCTTTGTTCATTGGATCAGCACAAGAATGACTCATCGCATATAGGAGATATCTGGCAAATATTACTACCATTAAGATAAATGAATGAAGAACCGTTGGAGTGTTTGAAGGAAGTTTGGAAGTCATATGATTACTTTGATATGAATATGAGCAATAAATTCTACTCGAAACATCATCCAGTAAATTATACTGTATCACTGTATGCCATATGAAATGGAAGATCTATCATTGAATAGGCAACCATTGTTGTTAGCTGTAAACAAATTTATAAGGTTGCAATGTCTGCATTTGTGGAGATGGATTGGGCATGCACAGAGAAGAGCATTCGGGGACACCACGCGCTATGCACTCGAGTGGAACCCAGATGGGAAATGGCGAGTTGGGCGTCCGAGAGTGACATGGAAGAGATCATGTGTGGAAGGAATGAAAGCTTGTGGGCAGTCGTGGAGCCAGGTTCAAAATATTGCAGAGAACAGAGTGCAATGGAGGCGTGCTACTGAAGCCCTATGTTCCACTAGGAACCCAAGGGACAAATAATAATATAATAATGTCTGCATTATCCATTCAACGTCTGCGATTGTATTCATTCAGATCTTGTCAGTTACACAGACTACTTATGCAGTGTTTTTGAAGTCGGATTATGTGCTGAGTATCCTGAATTTACCTTTTTTGTAAATTATTATTGTTTGGACAATGAACATTCGAGTATTTTCTTAACCACTCAACTGTAATGTCAGTTAAGTGGTAGCCCCTGTGTGTATAGTAGACTAGTCAAATAATTGACATTACTAGGGATTTCAGTATCAAAATTTTTTAAATTTAGTTTGTCTCCTACTTGCTTCTTCACATTTGTATTTCCTTATTAGGGTGTTTCGGCTATTCCAATGAGTGTTTTCTACTCGAAATCTAATCAACATCTTGGTTCAAATTATCTCCGATTCTGCTTTTTCAAGGTAATTGTGTTTTTTAAACGTTTGACATCTTTAATAACTTAGATTATGGAGGCTAACAGTGAAATCTAGGATTCTTGTCCCGTCCTATTTGGGATTCATCAGCTGGATGTAGTTGCATCCTAGTGAGTCGCGCTGTCCCCAGTGGGACTCGAACCCTATGCCTATCATTTTAGACATCAAATGGTTATCCATTAGGCCACTGAAGCAAGAGTATCATCTCTGATCCAACATAGTTGTTATATTGATTACTGCAAAATACCCTGTAGATTGGTGAATTTATTTCACTTTTTGATGCGTTATGTACTTTTGTAAGTTAAATAATCAGATATCGTATTCAGATGAGCTGGGGAAAACTCAGTGGAAATGTATCACATTCAAAGATTGTTGACTGTAAAGCTGTAAATGCACTAACCGTCCCATAAAGTTAAATGACTATGCATTGGGATATAGACTTGTTCACCAACAAAGGATGATGTTTTATGGTAAACACTAAAATACCCTGTATAATTGTTGAAGATGTTTTTCGAATAAATTAAGACAAATCACAACAAAACAAGATTGTAGTACCGCTTAGACTGAAGTGAGTCTATTTATCTTTACTATTGTGAACAAGACATACTAGAACTAAACGTCTAACTACAGTCAACAGTCTTGAGCAGTTAATTTTCCTCGAAGAGTCTTCTGGTAAATAAGACTATATCATTATGTGTTATCTCAAGCCTCCAGCGGTCATGTTTTCTTGACTTCAACCCACAAATTATCTGAAGGTAAATAAGGTTAAGGCATTTTGTTGAAGTGTTTTATCACTCATTCAAGTTAATAGTTTAATTCGTAGATAACTTTGATACTAGAAAATGATTGAATTTCAGTATCATTTGACGTGCAATCCTAGGAGAAGTTTGATTAAGGTAAGAGAATGCTAAGGGTAGTCAGATTGAGACCACTGGATGAAGTCTGTGATATTTAGTCGGAGTCGTTTAAGGAGGTGTAGACTATCTGGCTGGGGTCGCTGAGACAGTAAGACTTAGTGGTTGACGACTTTTGGTGACATGGCTGTAAACCGGTCGCAATGTCTTTTAAAGTTTAAGTTTTAAGATATCTTCATTGTTAAGTTTTCTCTCACACCCTCCTGTATCTTTGTCCACTTTGATATGACTCTTTTGCTTTCCACTTATTCTTTGTATACTGCTATGACTTGTGGAAACTTGATCCGATGCACTTGTATGCGAGATTCTACGTTAACTTTATCTGTTCATCTCTCTGTCAGTCCACTTTTTCAAATGAACATTGGCATATAAAATTATAAGGAAATCACTTAATAAAAGTCCACATCCTCCTGGATATATATTATCAGGCTTTTGACCAAATTCAGAGGACTAAAATCAGATTAACAAGCTATTTTTGGGGGGTGAGGAATCTGAGGGGGAGGTGGATAAGACGTTACGTCGATAACAGCTTCAATGACGCTATTTAAGGATACCTATTCGCTTTACAACCTCCTGGTTTACTATTATTAGCACATGTGATATCCACCTTGTCCAGCTTTGACAAAGTTAGAAATCCCTCAATACGTTCACAATGAATCAGCACACTTTGAAGACTTCAGAAAAGTCACTGATTAAAGTATATGACATCAATAATAGACGCCCTTCCAGAAAAGCTCAGTGGGACTAAGGTCACATGCTGATAGTGTCATAAGCCATCATACAAATGTGGCTTATTGCCTACTCTTTGTATATGCACAAGCTTTCTGAGTACGTTTCAGTTTCTCTTAAACTTAACCTAGATAGGCTGTCGAGTTGGTTTATTATTATTATTTTTATTATGTGAAGTTTACTTATCAATCTATTCATCTTTTCCTTTCAGGAAGACGCCACTTTAAATTCTGCATATGAAATTTTAAAGAGGTGGTAAATTCATTATTGCTTCACTTTGTGTACGGGGTTTTGTCTTGCCTTCCTTTCCTTGAGATTTTGTATTTCTCACTCATAGCGGTGCTAAATGATCGTTTCTTTTCTTTTCTATTTTCATATTAAATAAAATCTATAATTTTAAAAGAGTAAATATTATTTTTCTTTGAATCATCAAGTTTCTGAGGAAATGTCTTTGACCATCGTTTCTAATTTGTTAGTTAGTTGGGGATGTGTTGAATGGTTCACAACACAAGTGTACTGAAAAAGGCATGAAATGTCTACCATTGAAACAAGATAATTTTACATAATACAAGTTGATCAAGGTAACAAGAAAAACATGGAATTTGGAGAGGATGAAAACTCTTTAGATAGGTAAAGCAACAAGCTGTATTCGAGACTTGATACTTAGAAATCTAGGAAAGTGTTCAGACGAGAACCTTGATATGGGTAATAGCCAGTAGCAGACATTTTGTGAGACTAGTAACGAAATAAATGGATTGATGATAATGGCTAGTCCAAGGATTTGATGTATATCTCTTGCATCAACAAAAATTTCTAAACTTATTTTATGTCTAACTAGTTAACTAGTTTACACCTCTTCTAAATCACTCAGTTTGACATCTTAGGTAGTCTTGTTTCGAATCTTTTTTTGATAGAAGTAGATTAAACACTCAAAATCAGCATCATTAATTCATTTAAAGTTCCATATCAATAGTCGGAATCACGTTAGTGTAGTTGCACTAATTGATAACTCTCTAAACACCTATAATTTGTCAATTTCCACATGAATTCACTGTATATAAGAGTGACATATGATGCCTTTGATCCATTCTTCCATCATATCATTTATATTCATTCTTATAACACAGTCGGATTGGGAAGCTGTAACTTGTGGGATTAATGATATCAGGTAGACGGATAGATACTTGCCAGAAACATTCAATGATAGTCTCTTAGCGTTAATGTACCACCAACTAACTAATTTGAGGAGTCCAAATATTGAATTTCGACACTAGTTGCATAGTTTACAATTCATATGTCCTTAGTTTGAGTCGACAAAATGTTGTTCATAGATAATGATGACAAGACCAGGCGGTAGTTCTATAATTTATCATTGTATCAGTTCATAATTGGAAACTTTCAAATTCTCTCTCTCTAAGATCTGAAGATTTTATAATTCCATCTAGTTGATCTCATTGTAAAATCATTACAGATTGAAAATCCATCCACAGATATACTAATTTTAAGATTATGAATACAATTTAGAGCTGAGTCTAACAGAATCATTCACTTTGAAGATGTGGTCAGATTTGTTGATTACAACTGATGAGTTATCTTTATCCTGATCTTAGTTTGACAGATAAGAACGTAGGACAGACAGAAATATTCAACACAGAACCTTTAACATAAGTGCATTGGTTGCCACACTTCACAACAACATGCAAAGAACAGATGGATAGTAAATGACTGATACCAAAGTAGACAAAGTTGTGTGAGAGAATAGTCAATGTAAATATTTAAGCTTTAGAAGATTTCAAAGAGTGAATACATCTGCGCCGTTGCCCCTTAAATCACCAACCTCTTCGGTCTAGGAGACCCCATTCAAGCAGTCTAAATCTCCCCACAGGGCTCAAACCAAAAGTCAGGGACTTCAGTGATCGGTACCACATCTCAGTCTGGCCACTCACAACTAAATCCTAGCTCTCCTAGCGTCACACGTCGAAGTAGGCGCTGGATCAGCATGTTAAACATATGTCTAAGCCATCTCAGCCGATCAGTCCACTCGCATGTCTTACCCAGCACCCTTCGTTTGACTTTAAAACTGTTCACATGGCGGTTTTAGCATACGCAAGCGATGCTACGAAGAAATCTGTGATCAAAATCGTGAAACCGCTTCATGTCCTCTATTTTTAACTGCCATATCTCACATTCGCATAACAGGGAAGAACGAACTCCAGCCCAGTATACTAGTCCGTCGATTATTATTATTATTATTATTATTTGTTCCTTGGGTTCCTAGTGGAACGTAGGGCTTCAGTAGCACGTCTCCATTGCACTCTGTTCTCTGCAAACTTTTGAACTTGGCTCCATGACAGCCCAGTAGCTCTCACCTCTTCCCCACACGATCTCTTCCATGTCACCCTACCTCGGACGCCCAACTCGCCGTTTCCCATCTGGGTTCCACTCGAGGGGCTGGCCTGGCGATTGATGTCCCCAGTCGGCCTCCTCAGTGTGTGCCCAACCTATCTCCACTTCCTTCTGCATATTTGTTGAGCGATTGGTTCTTGGTTGGTTCGTTGCCGTAGTTCCTTGTTACTTATTCTTTTTGGCCATCTAAGCTTCAGTACTGAGCCAGTGTAGTCGGCAGTTGTTGATGAGTATCTGTAGTTTGTTGTACATTCTCTTCGTGACGCGCCAAGTCTCTGAATCATATATCAGCACTGACTTGACGTTGGTGTTGAAAATCAGGATCTTGTTCACGCTTTATGCTAAGTGCAGAAGATCTTCACACTGGTTTCAGGTTAATGAACGCCTGTCTTGCTGTCTTTGTGATTTTGGTTTTGACATCTTCGTCTGTGCCTTCTGTAGTTGAAATAGTGCTTCCTAGATAGGTGAAAGAGACTACTTCCTTTAAGTGTCTCGCGTTGATGGTGATCGAAGCTTGTTGTTGGTGGTGGCATTGGTTGGGTATCATCATCACCTCTCTCTTCTCTACATTCACTTAAAGTCCCGTCTTCGCTGCCCTACCTGTTCTGTCAACTTGTTAGTTTTCACCTGTAGACCTTCGAATTTGTGCGACACTAGACATAAATCATCATCGGCGTAATCGAAATCTTTTAGGGTCTTTTCTCTGGTCCAGCCAGTGTATCCCCCTCTTCTCACTCCTCGCAGTTTGTTGCATGATCTAGTCGACCACAATCAGGAATATCATGGGTGATAGTAGACAGCCTTGTTTTACTTCTGTCTTCACTTTAAAGGCATCACTGAGCTTCTCATTGTGAAGTACTTGGAATGTGTCGTCTTCATATAGTTGTTGAATGAGATTGTTAAGGTTTATGGCACTAAAACCGTAGTGTTGAAGCAGCTGCCTGCCAAATTACCTCTCGATCGACGCTGTCAAAGGCCTTCTCAAAGTCGATGAAGTTGAGGTAGAGAATTGCCATTCTGCCATTCCATACTCTGTTCTCTGATGATGCATGGGGTAGCGTTGCAGTTTGACCCGCACATGATTTCTACTTCCTGAATCCAGCCAGCCAGCCTGTTCCGGTCGTAGTTTTGAATCCAGTGCATCCCTTAGTCTCTCCAGGATGATGCGGCTTAATATTTTACTTGGGGTGGACAGGAGAGTGATTCCGTGCCAGTTCTTGCAAACACTGAGGTCTCCCTTCTGGATTTTGACAAGGTAGGCCTTCTTCCAATCGTCAGGTACCTTCCCTTCCTTCTACACCTTCTGTAGTAGTGATGTGAGCATGTCCTCTGTGGTCCCTGTGTCTATTCTCAGTGCTTCTGGTGGGATTCCACCTGATCCTGCTGCTTTCCCTCATTTCAGTAGCTTTATGGCGTTCAGGACTTCCACTTTTGTTGGAGGATTTATGTTCACTTGTAGTTCGGCGGCTGTAGGTGGTATTTCTAGACGAAGTGCAGGTGGTGGTGGTGGTCGATTCAAGAGCTTCTTGAAGTGGTCAGCTCATCGTTTCCTTTGTTTCTCTTCTTTGGTGATTAAATTTCCGTCATCATCTTTTATTGGTTTCATCTGTGTTGATCTCTTCCCAGACAGCGAGTAACCTGGTTATTTGATACAATGTTGTCAGGTCTCTCCTACCAGCAGCCTGTTCTGCTTCACTTGCCGGTGTGTTGTGGAAGTATTTTTTGTCTTTGCGTGCACTCTTCTTCACTTCTTTGTCCAATGTAATGTTTTATACATTGTACTTAGTTCTTTTCGTTGTTCTTCCTTGCACTTGTTCATCTTCTGTTTAACCATCTTCCTCTCCCTGCTCTATCAGCTTCCATGTGTCGGTCGAGATCCATTCCTTATCTTCTCTCTTCTTCCTTCCTAATACGGTTATTCAGGTTTCTTTCCACATTTCTTTCACAGACTTCCAGTGTTCTTGCACACAGCTTTCTTCAGGGATGTTCCTCGAAATCTCCCATTTTGTCTTGATGGCTGCCGTGAAGATCTCCTTTGTAGTTTCATCTTTGAGTTTCCGAGTGTTGTACTTGAACTGTGGTCTATCACCAGCTTCCTTGAAGGCTTTCAACTTGATTTTGAAGGTTCCTTACACTAGACAGTGAGTGGTCTAAACCTACATCTGCTCCTCTTCTTCACCTTGTGTCAAGTAGACTGCGTCTCCACTTGCCTCACATTGAGATAAAGTCAATCTGATTTTCAGTGTAGTGTGTCCATCTGGTGAAATCCATGTGGCTTTGTGGATATCCTTGTGCTTGAACACATTGCCTGACTCCAATCACCAAATCGTTGAATGCACAGAATTCTGCAAACAATTCTCCATTCTCGTTCATTTCACTGTCCTTCGTTTGATAATTGTTTTTCAGATTCTTAGGAAACCGTCGCTGTTTTATGATAAGTACTTCCAAAAAATATGCACTCATTTATCTATCCTTCATTACTTTTGATAACATTATTAAAACTACACGCTTCTACCATTATTACTATAATTAATTTATTTGATTTTTACTGATCCGATTCATGGTTTGTAAGTTTGTCTTGTAATAAATTTGGTCTAAAATTTCGTCTAATTCTATTATTCTTATACAAAACGAAGTATTCAAGCAGGCGAAAAATTGGTCTTTATTAATTACATCACCGAATCGTATCGACTTTTAAATTGGTTGTGGTAGATTCTATCCGAAGGTTCGTGAAGACTTAATAATTCATTTTAGGATGGAATTCAACAAAGATTGACATCAGTTAGAGGAACATTGGAAATCTGAGAGCACTAGATAATTACCTTTACCTAGTTGTGGGACTCCTCAGGAGTG